ATGGGTCACGTGTTCAATAGTTGGCCAGTGTAGAAAAGCACACCTCAGTCTACAGTTCTACCAAGAATGTAATCAATGGGCGAGGGAATAGATCCCCAAACAAAATGTAGATCCTGTCACCAAAGCAGGGGAAATGAATGTAGGACAGTCAAAAACAACAGTTGTCCATTGCAAAAGTCAAGGAAGATGAGGACAGCAAAGTGTCCATTGGATTTGGCCACATGAAGATCATGGGTAATCTTTACAAGAGAGGTTTTGGTGAATTGATGGAGTGGACCGTGATTGGAGGTGAGAAAGTGGAGACGATTCTCTTGATGAATTTGGCTTGTAGAGAATTAGGCTTGTAGAGGATTAGGTGATTGGAATAAAATTCAGGGCTGTGAGAATATAGCACCCAGAAGATCTTGAGAAGACAAGGGGGAAGGCCCAGGGTGAATCCTACAGTTTCTTAAACTTATTCTGGCTTCACAATTCTTCATTCCGAGTTTCTTTTGTTAGTACCTGTTACTACTTCATCATTAGAATTTATGTAATAACTCCCATAATATGCTGGGTTTGCTATGGAAAGTTACCTGATTTTTCTGTTCCCAGCACAACCAAATTTTACACCAAAATTTAAACTTCCTTTAAGATAAGTTTTAAGTTTTGGTCTTTGTAATTCAATATTAAAATTTTTGTTTTAATTTTTTAAGCATGTACAATACAAGTTTGCAGCTCAGGGAGATATCTGGGCTACAGATTAACGTTTGGAGACCATATTTATTTATTTACTTATTTTTCAAGATTTAATTTATTTATCTTTAGAGGGGAAGGGAAGGAGAGAGGGAGAGAAATATCAATGTATGGTTGCCTCTCGTGAGTCCCCTGCTGAGAACTGGCCTGCAACCCAGGCATGTGCCCTGACTGGGAATTGAACTGCGGTTGTTTGGTTTGCAGGCCCGCGCTCAATCCACTAAGTTACACCAGCCAGGGCTGGAGACCATATTACTGACTTGCTTAGGTTTACATCTGTGGTCAGCCACAGGTAGAGACAGAGGGAGCTAAGAATCAGATTGGTTCCTGATAACATGGAGACTAATCCTTTTGGTTGGAATCATGTGGTGACCAGTTGAGGGGAGCACCTCCGCCATGTTTCTCAATTTTTTTTTTTTTAAGATTTTATTTATTTTTAGACAGAGGGGAAGGGAAGGAGAGAGTTAGAGAAACCTCAGTGTGTGGTTGCCCCTCACGTGTCCCTCACTGGGGAGGTGGCCTGCAACCCAGGCATGTGACTTGACTGGGAATCAAACTGGCGACCCTTTGGTTCGTAGCCCGCGCTCAGTCCACTGAGCTACACCAGCCAGGGCTCTTTCCTCTTTTTTTTCTCTACCAATCACCTTGTCCTCCTTTCTAAAACTGGGTCAACGTGAAGGCATTGTTGACCTCCCGTAAATTCCAGCAGTACTGATAGTCTGAGCTTTGTTTTGTAGGGTGGAATCACTTTGCTTTGTAGAGGTTATACAGTGGTGTTCTGTTTCTTTTATGAAGCAAAGTAGTTAAAGCCCCTGGTCATCTTTCCCTTTGGAATACGCTCCCTTCTGTGGAGTAGGCAGGACTGAGGCAAGAGACCTGTGTCATCTCTGTTCCCCTGTTGCTTGTTTAGTTTACTGTAGATTGGTTTTTCTTCCCGGTATTTCCCTGTGTAGCCTGCATTGGTTTTAGGCCATCTCTACCATAGGGAAATGGTGTGACTGTTGAATCCTGTCTGGCATGTAAGTTCTGTGTTGGGGCTTGGGATGTAAGACTTCTTTTCTTTGCTAGTCATGGCCTAGTGTGTAGTGTTTTCCTTTGCAGATCTCATGGGGGGTGGGCAGTGGGGGGAGGGCTGGAGGACAAGATTCAAGTAATCTCAACTTCACCAAAATTCCAGTGATAATTGCTGATTGTAATATATATTGAAAGCAGATTTATGTCTATGGCTTTACACTTTATGGCTGATTCTATGCTTAACATCTGTATTTTAGACATTTCGAAGGTACTTTCATAGTGTTTTTCAGTCTGTGGAAAATAACATGTTAGTAGCTTGTGAGATCAGTTTACTGGGTTCTATCGTTTATAAAAAGACAGTGCATGAGAATAGGAGAGGTTAATATTGCTGTATGAAAATAAGTTATTTGTGTGTGCTTCTGTGTATGTTTTATGTGCTGAGTTACGATGGAAAGTATATCTTACTGTAGGTTGCAGTCAGAAGTTTGAAGACCAGTGCTTTATAGGAAATTCGGTCTCAGTAATAAAAGGCGGAGTGCCTAACCTTTCACAGAGTACTGAGCATTTGATAGGCTTACCTGTTTCTTGAGCACCTGTGCAGAACTTTATTTCTGAAGACTTTTATGATTATTTCTGTTGACTAAAATAAAAATAATCCTAGGGTAGATTTGTTTTATTTCTGCATTTCAGATGACTTTCCTAGGGCCAAGAAGTTGAGTAGCTTGTCCAGGTCTCAACCTAGTCAGAGGCAGAATTTAGATTCCTGCCTTAGAGAATCCTGTCCTTTTGTTTTTAAAAAACATATCTCAGCTTCTTTAACTTGTTTAGCAATTAGTGTTTTAATATGTGATTTGCTGGGTGATGTTGGGTGTGCTGTAGAAAAAGAATGCAGTTTATCAAACTTTACTTCCTAGGACTTGTTTATTTGGCTAAAAAATGGAAGGAGAGTTGTTCTTAGGAAGGTCCTGATAATAGAGATGCTGTTGACCTAAATCTGCTTTGCTATTGTTGAATTCTCTGATTATTTCCAAAACTTTTCAGGGCTCCTTGTTCTTTGCTTTGGTCATTGCAAAGGCTTTATTGCCTGCATTCTTTTTAACCTCTAGGCTGACAGCGGGCTAACATTCAATAATAGCAGCAGCAGGGTCAGTGGATTTCTAAATAACATATGCTAGACCAAGATTTTTTTTTAAAGCAGATTAATATACTTTGGTGGTTGGGGAGCCAGCCACATGGTAAAATGTAGTTGTTAGCAAGGGGAGAGGGAGGTAGGGTCTGGGCAGTGCTGCGTAGACCAGTCCCTGGCTTTCTGAGGCCACTTGGTTTTGTAGTAACCCTTCATCTAGAGCCAAGACGCCTTATTTATGATTTGTGGAAAATATGATTTGATGGGTCTAACCTTGGTTGCTGATGATTAAATGTCATTATCTCTTCTATTATTTAAGGAGCTAAATTAGTACATTTTTTATTTAAAAGGAAATGGGGATAAACATTTTGCCTGTCCACCAGCTACAGATACATAATAAAAATGAATAGCCTTGGCTGGATATCTCAGTTGGTTAGGGCATCTCCCCCTTTTGCCAAGGTTCTGAGTTGGATCTCCGGTCAGGGCACATACAAGAATCAACCAATGAATGCCTCAGTAAGCAGAACGACAAATCGATGTTTCTCTCTCTTGGCCTCGCCCCCACCCCTCACACACACACCTCTCTCTGTCTCTTTCAAAATCAATACATTTTAAAAAGGAACATATATTAACTGTCCATCTTAAACAACTGTGGGTGCTTCGGTGACTACTCTGTACACTGCAGTTCTGATCTCTTCATGGCATGAGGAAGCCTGGGAAGAAGTTTCCTGAGACCCATAATTTTATTGAAAATAGCTTCCCTTCTAGTAAGAGCAGTGCCTTTCACTACAGTGTCATGTAAATTGCATTTAAAGGAACAACATTGATGGGGACCCATTCCCCCATTCTGGCAAATTATTTTTATTATAAATACTCTAAATAAACATAAAGCTAGGTGATACTTATACCTCCTATGCTGAACTTTTATAGCTCTTCACTGTAACATCAAACCAAATTTACAAATCAATAATAGCAGTGTGAGGGTCAGTGGATTTCTAAAATATATATGCTAAACAAAGATTGTTGAAGCAGTCTAACTTGTTTGGCTGGTCATAGGGAACCATGTATGTCATAAAAGTCAGGCTATCAGGATATATCAATTGTCTCCATGGATTTATATCTTTATGAGTAAATATACAGATGTAGACAACATCATAAAATGAAAATTCAAATTAACATTCATATTATATGGTAGAGTTGTTTTGCTAAAATGAAATACATACTTGATGTTGAGTTTAACAGTGGAAAGATTTAGCCTTGGATTCAGTAATATATTTCATCTGTTTCTACATTTTAAACTAAGTAATACTAATGCAGAGGCTATCACACAAGGTAGTATTAATAATGTCAGGGCATTATTACACAGTTTATGATGATCAGATCTTATATTGAACCAGAGGTGACTGAGAGGTCCTCAGATGTCAATTTTAATGTGGTATTTATGATAACTTTGTAGAGTTAGAGTTGCCTCGTTCAATTGAAGATAAGATTTGCTTTGTGCCCTGACTGGTGTGGCTCAATGGGTTGGGTGTTGTATCACAGACTGAAAGATCACTGGTTTGATTCTGGGTCAGGGCACATGCCTGGGCTGTGGGCCAGGTCCCCAGTTGGGGGTGTGCAAGAAGCAACTGATCGATGTTTCTTTCCCTCTCTTTCCCTTCCCTTCCCTATACAAATAAATAAAATTAAAAGAAAAGATATGCTTTGCAAGTGAAAAGATAACACAGAATGGAAGTTTGTGTAAATCATCTATCTGATAGGGGACGTATATCTAGAATATATAAAGAACTCTTAGAATGCAATAATAAAAAGATGAACCATTTAAAAGTGAGCCACCAACCTGTTGAAGTATTTCACCAAAGAATTTGTACAAATGCCCAATAAGCACAGGAAAAGATGCTCAGCATCATTAGCCATCAGGTGATGCAACTGAAAACCACAGTGAGTCACCACTTCACCCGGATGGGTGTGATGAATGAGGCAGACACTAACAGGAGTTGGTGAGGCTGTGGAGAAATTGGATCCCCTTCATACACTACTGGTGGGATTTAAGGTGACACAACCACTTTGGAAAAACAGCCTGGTATTCCTCGAGAGATGAAACGTAGAGTTACTATATGATCTAGCAGTTTCACCCCCTAGACACATACAGAAAATATATGTCCACACAAAAACTTGTACTTGAATGTTCATAGCAGCATTATGCATAATAGCCAAACTGGAGACAACTGAAGTGTAGAAACAACCCAAATAACCGTCAACTGATAATTTGATAGATAAATGTATACCCATACAATGGAATATTACTTGGCGACAAAAAAGAAATGAAGTACTGATGCACTACAACAAGGACAAACCTTGGAGACGTCATGCTAAGTGCAAGCAGCCAGGGGTAAAAGACCACATGTATAATGCCCTTTGTAAGAAATGTTCAGGGTAGGTGAATCTACATGGATGGTAAGTAGATTAATAATTGCCCAGGCCTGGTCAGTGGAGGGTTTGAGAGAAAGTGGGTATGGGCTTGCTTTTTTGGGGTGATGAAAATTTTCTAAATTGTGGTTATGGTTGCACAACTTGAACTCTTTAAATGAGTAAATTGTGTGGTATGTGAACTCTATCTCAGTGTAGCTGTTATTTAAAGCAGATTTGCATTGCATTTTTTAAAATCTGTTAAATGGGTAACCGGAACTGGGAATACAATTAGATTTGCCACCTCACTTAGCCAGTGCTGGGTTAAAGATGAGATCCACACAGTACATTTGCCGTGGTTCCGAGTGCTTTAGTACAGATTCTTCTGAGGGTAGTCTTCCTGCTCTACCGCATCCTACTATTCTCTTCTGTTTATACGGCACACGTACAAACCTCAGATTTGGACACCAAAATTGTGTGGCTGCACTCAGTTATAGTATGGGTACCCATTTACCCAGAAAATGCTTGTGCTGGTTTTTAAGATTATCACTGAAACAAAAGCAGTCTTAGGGTGTCCAGCCTTTTGGCATCTCTGGGCCACACTGGGAGAAGAGTTGTCTTGGGCCACATATTAAATACATTGTGACATGTAATCACACACATTAAAAAATCTCGTAGTGTTTTAAGTAAATTTATGATTTTGTGTTGGACTGAAGTCATAGCCATCCTGAGCCACATGTGGCCCATGGGCCACAGGTTGGACACCCTGAAGGGTGTCATAGATAACCGAGGACCCTTGAGGGATGGTGATCCAGAGGTGGCTCTTAAACTACGAGAGCGGTGTAGCTCCCTTCTCTAAGTAGTTATCACAGCTTTGCAAAAATGTCTAAGATCTGCTCTACCTGATTTTCCCCTTGTTCAGGGCACGTGTTCATATGCTTCTATTTTTTTTTCATTAGGTAAGAAAATAAACCATTCCTGGAGCCAGCACCATTAGTTTCTAAAAAACCTAACAAATATAAAGACAGTGAATAATTGTCTAGTTTCTTAGAGATTTTACAATCCTAGAATCTCAAAATTGGAGGAAGCTTAAGGATAACCTAAGTAAACATTTGGTAATTTCTTGGCTTCTTGAGATGAGCTAGAATCAGGGGAAAGGAATTCTGAAACTGTGATTCCAGATCAAACTTAGAGAGATGTAGTCACTGTTATGCCAACTACTCATGACAGCTTGCTCTGTGGGTGGGAATCTGGCTCTGTAGTTTAATAACTTGGGCAAGTGATATATGGGGCCTTAGTCCCTCCTCTGTAAAGAGAGGGATGGATAAACCACATTGAGCTATTTATAGTGCTTGACTAAGAAAAGTGTATGTGAAAGGAAAAGTTGGGGATTTATGGTACTTTATGTGGAAACCTTAAAGATTTTTTTACAAAATCTTGTAATTTTTTTATGCTGGAAAATACGGATTTCTGGCAGCTAACAAGAGGGAGAGGGAGGAACTATTAGAGCGGTAACATTTACTCAGGTACTTCTCAGTGCTCCCTTTATAGAGTGAGCCTGTCTTATTCTAACTTTTCGCTTTACCTTGGTGTTAATTGAAAATTCCCGACCTGGGTACATTTTACACTGTATGGCCATTTTGTGTTTAATAGTGCTTACAATTTCAGCAACAATTGTACGAAATAAAGTTAAATCATTTTGCCAAGATCCTGGGGGGGAAAAAGCTATAAGAAAGTAAGAATTTAAATTATGGGGAGAAAACAGTTCAATCAGGGTCCCGAGAGTACTGGTTTTAGGAAACACTGTTCAAATTTTGACTGACTGTACAACCATTTTTTAAAAAATTCAGAAATTGAGAAAAGAAAAATAAGTCATACTAGCCTGCCACCCAAACTATCACAGCTGTGTGAATTTCTCTTACTTTTTCCTTCGTGTATTTTAACTAGTTTTAACATTGGCAGATGTGTGACTTTGTATTTTGCTTTTGTAATTTGTCATTGGCATTTTTCTTTGTTGTTGCATTGTTTTCATAACTGTATTTTCAAGTGACATAATTTAATGAACATTTCTAATTGCTGGGTATAATTTAATCAGTGGTCCCTGATTGTTGAATATATATGCATATTTACATGTTGCTTGCAGTTACTTATTATTGCAGATGATAAGATAAAATTCTTTGGACATATAAATTTTCCCATGTTTGAGACCTTTTCTTTGGACAGATTAGTAGAAGTAGAAATTCTACATCAATGTATCACTTCTTAGGCGTTTTGATACCCTTTGGGCTTGTTCTGTTTCCAAACAAATGCTTTAGGTCACATTCTTTCTTTGCTTGCTTGTTGTGGATATACGGGCATGGGCAAACGTAGGTTTACAGTGGCTTGTGTGGGAAAAGACATGCAGGTAATGATTATTAAAGTAGCTTTATTAACTCAAAGAAGGTTGCAACTGTAAACCTACTTTTGCCACACCTGCATAAAGAAGGCTTTGTTTATTTAGCTACATTTTTCCTCTATCTTAATTCTGTCTCCCTTTTTCCCCTTATTTTAGGCTACATTGATTACCCACCCACCCAGCACAGCACCTTATAGGAAAAGTGTAGCATTTCCTAGAGGAATATGAGCATAAACAGGAAGGTGTCGTTGACTCTGAATTAAAATTTGAACCTGTGCCCCGAACAGCTACAGGATTTGGAAGCTGAATCAATGTTATCAGATGAGTTAGAGTCCAAACCAGAGGTGAGCCCCTCAGCCTGTGTCTTTCCCTGTGGCGGGCCGTGTTCTGGGGTTTGTCCTGCTTAGTCTGGGGTCAGCTTTTCTGTAATAGGCCAGAGAGTAAAATTTAGTCTTTGTGGGATGTGTTATTTTGAATTTAAGTACTGGTTTATTATTTTTCTGTTACTAAGTACTTTTTCGAAGATTTCCATTTTTGCCTCTTATGACTTAATATTTGTTATTTAAATAAATGTAAAATTATATGTCTAGATAATTATATGACAAACTTCTTGTGGCATATATATGTAATGTGTGTATACGTATGTAAATATTTACTACCACAAGCCATCTTCTTATTAATTTTGCAGATATCTGAAAGTATTTTTTAATGTAATTAGAGGACTTAACTATTTTTAATTTTTAAAATTTTAAGTATATCTGTATTACATAATGGAAAGGTCACTGAGTTTGGAATCAAATTACTTAAGTCTGAAGACTGACACTGCTTCTAACTAGTCTTGTGACTGTAGAAAAACCATTTAGTGTCTTCAGCTTGATTCCTGGTCTTTAAAGCACATGTCTGAGCTTCCTGAGTTACAGCGAGGGTTAGAGGAGCCGGTACACAGAAAGTGCTTTATAAAAATGTAATTGGTACAACACGGTTGAATTTTCAATAGCCATCATTTAAAAACAATTATTTTTTATTATTTCTTTGTTTGGTAGAAGATAACAGAGGTTAAATTAATTATGTAATTCAACCTTTCTCTAGAGTAGATGTCTTGATAAAAATAACTTTAAATTCTATTTGTCTTTAATCTAATTTTTAAATGAATATGGCTGGGACTAGTGAACGATTAAGACTTAATCACATCATCAACTTTTGGTAAATGCAGGGGTTTATATCCACTTCTAACAACTTGTGTTTCTCAACGTTGTTTCCCCTCCCTCCCCGCCCAGCTCCTGGTACAGTTTGTTCAGAATACGTCCATCCCATTGGGACAGGGACTAGTAGAATCAGAAGCTAAAGATATTACTTGCTTGTCCCTCCTTCCGGTGACTGAGGCTTCAGAATGCAGTCAGCTGATATTACCAGGTAACACTTAAGATCACTACAGGTAAAATAAATGAGTCCTAAGAACTTAGCCTATTCTGTGGTACCGGGGGCACAGGATAACGGATTTTATAACTGCCTGGTGGAAACCAAACATTGGAATCATGGAGAAAAAAGAGCCCTGGGAGCCCTAAGTGCATTGGTAGTTTATGCCATACGAGTGGGTATGATAACCGTAGAGTGTGAGCCTGAGAAGAAAAGAAGGCTCAGGTACAGTGCCTGGGAGCTCCCTGTTCCAGGTACAGGGTAAGGCAGGAGAGCCTGGAAGGAGGGGAAGGGGGGAGAAGGAGGGAGGAGTAGAGGAACTCTTCAAGTAAGAACCCAAGCCAAGTATCATCGAGAAGGTCAACAAGGCCATTGTTGACCTTCGTGGGGCCTGTTCCGTGGAAAGGGGGTAGAAGGCCAGGCGGCAGTGGTTGAGATACTAGTGTAAGATAAGTATAGGTAAGTATCTACACTTTGTAAAGACTCTGCTGCTATGGGAAGGAAAAGGAGAAGGACGTAAGATAGATGGGAGATTCTCTTCTCAGATTTAAAAAACTTAAGGGTGGCTTAATTCTGGAAGGAAAGAGCCAGTCAGAGAAGCCGAAGATCTGCAGAGCGGGTAGTTGCTGGGGGGGCTTCGGGAGAAGGTGCCGGCTGTGGAGCGCCTCGGGTGGGGAAAGGGGAGCCCTGTCCCTCAACTGCCATCAGAGAGAATGCTGCTTTTAGATGCAGGGTTTTCTCTCTGGTCCTTGGTTTAAAATTTGGAATATTAATGTTAAATCTGAGGGGGCGGATTAGTATCAATCTGATGGTGACAAATAGTTATTTATTGTAAAGTCTTTTGGTTACTGTCTTCTAGTGGCCTTTTTTGAAGGCCTGTTTTCAAGTGACTTTAAAATTTGTTTAAATGTGTAAAGATTCAAGAAGGGCAGATGATATGAACCAACGAATGTCGACTGAAGGCTTCCCTGAGTAGCTCCTTGTTTTTCCACACTTTCCCCTCTGAATTCCCATTTTTTTTACTAGTGTATTGGGAGTCTTTCCAGGTACTTAGGGTTTTTAGTATGAGAAAATTTCCATGTGCCAATAAATTTTTATCTCCGTTAGGTTTTTTCCATGCCTTTTCTTTCCCAATGTTAATTCATTGAATAAATATTTAATAATAATAAAGGAAATAAAAACAGATACAAAAGCGTCTGTCTTCCTTTTCACATTACCTTCTTTTAGTTTTAATTTTGATTTAAAACATTTTGAGAACCAATAGATAATAACTCTATGTACTCACCTCCCAGCTCATAAAATACAGTATTACAATAGCAAATGTGTCTGCACATACATCCCTAATCTCATTCCCCTCCCTCTTAAGTGTGTGTGTATCGTTCCACGCATGGCCTGGGTGTTTTCTTCCCTTGGGGTATGTGGTAGATACAGAGAAGTACAAAACCATATGGATACACATGGGAGAGTTACTACTGCAAAGGGGACACCCGCCACTTACTTAATCAAGAAGTAGAACACTGCCAGCTCCTAAGCCCTCCATTGGCTCCTCCCTGATAACGACAAGCTCCGTTGTCCGTAGATCCCCACCGTCCTTAACTTTTGAGACAATGTTTTTTTGTTTGCAAGTTTCCAGGAACCGCCCAAGTCTGAGTAATACAGTTCAATTTTAGCTGGTTTTGGACTTTAAGTTAGTGGAATTGTGTGCATGTATGTGGTTGTACCTTTTTTCCACTCTGTTTTTGTGAGGTTCATCCTTGTGGATAGCTGTGGTTTGTTTGGTTTCATGAGCGCACCACAGTTTTATGCTGCTGTTGATGGATATTTGGTTATTTTTCCAGTGTTGTTCTGTGATAAACTGTGTCTCTATGAACTTTATTTAAAAAAATTTTTTTTGCAGTAAAATATACATAAAATTTATCATTTTAATGAGTTAAAATCTAACTAGTTCTATAGCATTAAGTACATTTACATTGTTGCATAACTTCATTGGGCTCTGAAATGGCCACTGTCCTTAGGCTTCCACTTTTATTCCTATAATCTTGTCTATTATCTTCTTAAAATAGGAAAGAAAGGTTGTCTGTATTTGATAAAGATGAGCTTCTGGAAACACTGGGTGTAGTGCAGTTCCTCGTCATGTTGCAGCCAAAACCTCTGTAAACCGATGTCCTCCCTTAAAGTAAAATTAGAGAGAGAATCTGATTATTTCTTTGCCTCCAATGTAAACCCAGACTGCAATGAAATGGATCGATGATTCCATAAAATTTCGTTTTTTTCCCAGGCTGTGTTTTCCTTTTTCCTTTAATGACTCACCAGAACCGTTCCGTGCATAATGTGAAAATTAAAGGAAGTGATCTCTCCCCAAGGAACATAAGTTAAAATACAGATCGTGACTTCCGCTAAGATGGAGGCCTAGGTGGAAGCACTGCACCTTCTCACACAACCAAGTTTAAAAACAACAAAGTTTTAGCAACAAAAACGCAGCCAAACCACAGAAAATTGAACTACACGGAAGTCTGACAACAACAAACCCTTCAGCCAAACTGGCAGGAGGGGCAGAGCCAGCAGCAGAGCAGGGTCGGGCAGGAAAGATTCACCGGACCGACCAGGGCGTGCAACCCAGGCGCGCCAGCAGCTGTAGGCGGATCCCAGGTGTGGAGTAGCAGCAGGCAGACCCACTGAGGGCACAAGGCGGTGGACTCACTGAGGGCTGACCAAAGTCACACAGTCGAGCAGATAAACTGGTGAGGGAGCCAAGCGGTGAGACGGACCGTGCAGGCCCCAGTGGTGGAAAGTGGCAGAGGGGACCACCATTGTCCCTCTCTGACCCTGCTCCCACATATAGCATCACAAACCAGGGACCTGGGTGGCCCCACCCTGGTGAACACCTCCGCATATGTAACAGGCACGAACAGATCAAAACATGGCTCAAGAACAACTCAGAGCCCCAGAGCCGATAAATCTAAGCAGCGAAGAAATAGCCAAACTTTCAGACGCACAGTTCAAAACACCGGTGATCAGGATGCTCACAGAACTGGTTAATTATAGTCACAAATTAGAGGAACATATGAAGGCTAAACTAATTGAAATGAATGGAAATGTACAGGAAACCAATAGTAATGGAAAGGAAACTGGGACTCCAATCAAAGAAGTGGACCAGAAAGAGGGAAAAAATGACCAAGCAGAAAAGGATGACGAAACAAGAATTCAAAAAAAATGAGGAGAGGCTTAGGAACCTCCAGGACATCTTTAAACATTCCAACATCCGAATTATAGGGGTACCAGAAGGGGGAAAGACACAGCCACCAGTGGAAAACTTATTTGAACAAATAAAGGAGAACTTCCCCATTCTGGCAAAGGAAATAGACTTCCAGGAAATCCAGGAAGCTCAGAGAGTCCCAAAGAAATTGGACCCAAAAAGGAACACACCAAGGCACGTCATCATTACATTAGCCAAGATTCAAATGAAAGAATCCTAGAAGCAGCAAGAGATAAGGGGACAGTCACCTACAAAGGAGCACCCATCAGACTGTCAGCAGATTTCTCAAAAGAGACCTTACAGGCAAGAAGGGGCTGGAAAGAAGTATTCCAAGTCATGAAATCCAAAGACCTACATCCAAGATTGCTCTATCCAGCAAAGCTTTCATTTAGAATGGAAGGGCAGATAAAGTGCTTCTCAGATAAGATCAAGTTCAAGGAGTTCATCATCACCAAGCCCTTATTATATGAAATGTTAAAAGGACTTACCTAAGAAAAAGAATATAAAAAATATCAACAGTGAAAGGACAGCAAACTCACAGTTACTAACAACCACACCTAAAACAAAAATAAACTAAGAGGACAGCTAGATCAGGAGCAAAACCATAGAAATGAAGATCACATGGAGGGTTAGCAACAGGGGAGTGGAAGAAGGAGAAGGGGGGAGAAGGTACAGAAAATAAGCAGCATAGACGGTAGGTAGAAAATAGAGAGGGGGGAGGGCAAGAATAGTATGGGAAATACAGAATCTAAAGAACTTGAGACACGTAGTCATAAACTAAAGAGGATAATGGTGGGGGAGGGGTGTGCAGGGTGGAGGGGAATGAAGGGGGAAATAGAACTGTAATGGCATAATCAATAAAATATATTTAAAAAAATACAGATCGTGTTCTTAAGTTCGTGTTCACTGTGTAACTACACTTTTCAATCAGAAAGTGCTCACTGCCGGCCTTGCCAGGACAGAGGTCTGTAGGTGCAAATGCGGATTTGGGCCTTCTTCCTGTTAGAACTTCTCTGTGTTCTTTTCTGAGGCAGATTTTGTGTTTATAAAATGAAAATGCTGTCTGTTCTTGTAAGGATGTTAGGTGCTAAGGGATGTTTAAGGGTACCAGGTGAGATCTTTGGAGGTAGGTGCTTCCTAAGTCTGTGGTGTTTTCTATTTACTAGATGATTCTCCAAATCATACTAACTCCTCCAAGGAGGTCCCTTCTTCAGCTGTGCTGAGAAGCCTGCAGGTGAATGTGGGCCCAGACGGAGAGGAGACGAGGGCTCAGACTGTCCAGAAGTCCCCGGAGTTCTTATCCACCCCCGAGTCTCCTAGCTTGTTGCAAGATCTACAACCAAGTGATAGCACTTCCTTTATTCTCCTTAACCTAACAAGAGCAGGTAATTTTTATCCTTTTCTGAACTCTGCTCTGCTCATGCCTAAAATGAAGTGAAGCTTTATTATTATATTATTTTGGAGAATTGATGTAGTCTAGGGACCAGTTCAGTGTGGAGAGAGAGAGAACGGGTGGACTCCAGGATGACTCAGAAGTCTCTTGTTTGGGAAATGAGGTGGTGTTGGTCACTGGGATAGTGAACGCAGGAGGAACAGAGCTGGGGGGGATGATTAGTTCCTGTGATGTTGAAATGCGGGAGGGACATGGAGGAGAAGGTGTCCTTTAGAGATAGAAACAGAATTCTGGGGTTCTAGAGAGGTCTGGTGGGAAATAAGTAGTTTTGGTGCTAATCAGCATTTAGAAGATGTACGAAACAGTGAGTAAGATTCTTTGTTTCAGGAATACTCTAGAATAGCGGTCCCTACCTTTTTGGCACCAGGGTTTGGTTTTGTGAAAGACAGTTCTTCCATGGACCGGAGTTGGGGGATAGTTTTCGGGATGGTTCAGGTGCATTACACTCAAGCTCACCTCCTGCTGTGCAGTGGGTTCCTAACAGGCCCGAAGGGGTACCAGTCTGTGGCCTGTAACCAGGGTACCTCCTGGTTGGGGGACCCTGGTCTAGAACATAAACAGAAAAGTAGGCAAATCTGGGACCCTGAAAAAAAAAGCCAAACATTTATGAGAGTAACAGAAAAACAGGAAGGAGTTGCTAGAGAGGGATGAAGAAACCAGAATGAGAATGATGGGTACTGGACGGAAGGGGGTGGGGAGGAGGTAGTAAAGGGTAGAGGGGTCAATGCATAGTGATGGAAGGACTCGGGGAACACACAGTGCAACACACAGATGACATTTTCCAGAACTGTGTACTTGAAACCTTTAGAATTTTATTAACCAGTGTCACCCTAATAAATTTAATAAAGAACAATGTGAGTGATGTGGGGCGAACCAAGGGAGAAAAACATTTTAAAGAAGAAAAGTTACTGAATCATACCAAATCCTTCAGAACGGGCTGGTGAGGTGAGGACTGGGAAGTGTATGTCTGGTGGCCTTGGTGAGTGCAGCGGTTTTGCAGCAGCTGAGGTGGAGGCCGGGGTTAGAGAGATGGGGAGTAGATGGCAGGGGAGAAGGTGGGTATGCGAGGTAGACGTTCCACTTGTTCAAGAAAGTTGACTTTGAAGGGACAGCTAGAGAAGTACTTGGGACTTTCTAGTCTTTAAAAAAATAAGCAAAGATGGCAGACACTTGAGCGTGATAGATTTAAAGGCTATAAGGGAGGCTGTAAGCAGCCAGTAGAGAGGAGACAGCTGAAGGAGAGGTGCAGGGATAATGGGAGGATAGGATGGGGTGATGGTTCAGGTTCACCTGGTTGCCAGGAAGGACGGCTGTGCCTGTGAAAAAGAAGGAGGTAAGATAAAGACAAGCTGGTGGGCTGGGAGTAGAAAGGTGGTAACCTAGTCTGGTGTGAGAACTGAAACTTGAGGTAAGAGGGGAAGGTCTGGGATAGCCAGAGCAGGACACACAGGGTTTCTGTACCAGGGCCAATGAAAGGGTTACTTGATGTCTAACTTTCTTATATCCTCTTGTTCTTCCAGGCCTGAGCTCGTCAGCTGAGCATCTAGTATTTGTGCAAGATGAGGCTGAGGATTCAGGGAATGATTTCCTCTCCGGTGAAAACGCGGACAGTAGCATTCCCTGGTTCCTCCGGGTTCAGGAGTTGGCCCATGACAGTTTGATCGCTGCTACTCGTGCACAGCTGGCAAAGAACGCAAAAACCAGCAGCAATGGTGAGAGCCCTGGGGTGTTTTCCAGTATTCTGTGCAGGGATTTTGGTAATGCAGTGGTTATATTTTGAATTCTGTTTTTCTGAAACTAAATTGCTCCTTGTGACAGTTTAGCACTTAGCCATGAGGTCTGTGGTGTTGTTTGAGTTCAGCATGTCTGTACTACCTCCTCTCCTACTTTCCTCCATCCAGAGATTTTCAAAGTGTGGTCCTGGATTGTTGCATCACGGAAGAACTTAGCAATGCAGGTGCTCAGGCCCTGTCCTGAATCAGACACTTGCCATCTTTTAGGAAGAAGCCCTTTTGATGGTTGTGATGGATGTTAGGGCTTGAGGGCCATGGCTTTGTGTAGCCACTCCCAGACCTCTGCAGAGCCCTTGCTGTGTAGCATGCCTGTAACTTTCTTTTGTAAATAAGATAAAGTTTAAAAGTTACAGAGGCAAAAGAAAGGCCCTTGGAGCTTAGGAGAGAGAAAGGGAAAGGTACAAATCACCTGGGGGGAGGAGAAGGGGGGGAGCAAGGCACAGGCTTGCTCCCAGCAGGAGAGTGCCTGCTGTAATACTTTGTTTTAGATTTCCCACTGTATTTTCTCATTAACCTGTAACGATTAAGGTTATTGTGTTGATCAAAAAGTTAGTTTTTTTCTGTACTGTGGCTCTAGCAGTGCTTAGTTGTCTTTAACTTCATTTGAAACAATTTTGTTAGATTGTATTGTGACAGCTGTCATATCAGCATGTGTTTAAAAAAACTTAGGAAATTGGTGGATTTTTGTGCAGCCATTTTAATGTTAAAGATGGAATAAGATACAGAGCATTTCAGTGTGTTATGTTTATTATTTCAAAAAAGGCAACTGAAATGCAAAAAAGAAAGAATTGTGCAGTGGACGGAGAAGGTGCTGTGACAGATCGAATGTGTCAGAAGTGGTTTGCAAAGTTTCCTGGTACCGTTGACATTTTAGCCAAGTAATTCTTTGCTGTGGGTCTGTCTTATACCTTGGAAGATGTTTAGCAGCACCCTGGTCTCTACCCACTAGAAGCCAATAGCAGGAGATAGCTGACATACTCAAAATATCCAAATCAATAAAGTTACTGATGAAAGTGTTATGTCTTTTATTTTATGGGAAAAAAACTGACCAGACTTTTTGGCCAGTCCAGTAGTACTGTATTTGCCCATGAGAAACAGTGTAGGGAGGGGACTTGGGATTTAGATTCCAGGGGCCTGAGATCTGTCTCTGGTGCCATCTTTTACTGGCTCCCTGCCTGGGGAATATAACCTCCCTTAGCTTCAGTTTTCTCATGTTCATAGCAAAGAGATCAGATGCTTACCTGATTGGGTTGTTACTGAGGTTGAATAAGATTCTGTCTGTGAAATGTCTTATAATCAGCAAAGCATTGTATGGGTGTTTTTGTTACTCTCAAAATAATGTTTGCTACCTAACAACTACCTGAGCACTTGAGTATAAGGTGAGTCCATATATATGATAATCTTCCATTTCTCAGTGAAATGATTTCCTAAAAGCTTTTTGGGGGGCTGTGATTTATAAACTTTTAGGCATGTAGATGAAGTTGAACATTGTAAATTGCTATGTGAGAATTTTGTTTTGGTTACACATTTTAAATTATATGGAACATATTAATTTGATGTTGCTTTTTACATACTAACATGTCATAAAATGGTTTTACTCAGTATTTTAATACATTTAAACAAATATCTTTATCATTACTAAAGCCACTTTGTGAGTCCTGTAGCACAGTTCATTAAGGCAAATTACCTTGCCCTGGCTGTGTGGCTCAGTTGGTGGAGTGTTGTCCCTATACCAAAAGGTTGTGGGTTTACTTCCCAATTAGGGCACATACCTAGGTTGTGAGTTCAATCCCCAGTCAGAGCATGTGCAGGACGCAAACCCGTTGATGTTTCTCTCACGCTATCTCTCTCTCTCTGTCGTTGTCCTCCCCCTCTCTAAGATCAGTAAGCCTATCCTCGGGTAAGGATTTAATAATTTTTTAATGCAAATCAGCTTTACATCCAAGTTTATTGAGATATAAAAATATTTTAACTTTGCATTCGGTGCTTGTATCAGGGGTCAGCAAAGGTCCGTGGACCAAGTACACACCTGTGTTTGTAAATTGCAGTTTTACTAGAACACTAGCATGCCAATTAGTTCTGTAAATTGTCTATTATGGCAACTACCGTGGCAAAGTTCAGTAGTTGAGGCGGACCATGGAGCCCTCAGAGTAAAAAATATTTACTGTGTGGCCTTCACAGAAGATGTTTACTGATTCCTGCTGTGTATGACACCCAGATGCAAAAAGTCCCCCCATAACTGTAAGACCTTTGAGGTGTTTATAGTTGTTATTCAACTTCTGCAGTATTTCACCTTCTGCAGTTTCTTCGTCTCTGGTTTTTTAATGTTTGGACCAGTTGATTCGGTGACCTGGATATCCAAAACTATCATTGGTTGAATTCATTTTAAAGCTAATTTGTCTTCTGCAAGCAATACCTTTTTTCCAAAAGCACAGTAGTTGAGGGAGCACTCCTTTAGTGATTTTATAAGGACTCAAACACAAGACCACTTGCTCTTTTCTGAGGGATTTTCTTCTGCTTCAGATATTATCAGTGTTCTCATTGTATCTGTGGAATTGAATGCGTAAAGCCCCCCTGTCTCTAGTTAGATCTCAGATTAGCGAAGGATTTCTACAGATTTTTCAGTAGAAATTAATTTGGTGGAACTTTAGAATTTGGAAATTTCCTTTACGGTACATGGTGTTTAAATTTTGCCTATGTACAGATACTACTTTTTCAATTAAACAGAAAAACTGTGGAACAATTATTTTTAAAAAAGCATATCAACTAACAGAAGGCATCTCAAATTTTACTTGGACCTTGGAGCAATTAGTTTTATGACTAATGTGTAAGCACAGCGAGGAGGATGCAGGGCCGCGGCAGGAAGACGGCCGCATTCGTAGACGGGACAGGCGCTGCTCAGCTGTCGGTTCTGGGGAGTGTGGCGGCTACACCTTAATATGCCTCAGTCTTGGCTTTTGAGGGAAAGTTGGGAGTTAAATCTTATTCCCAAGGTATAAGAAAGATAAACTATACATGCCCAGCGCAGAATTAAATGAATGCTTTTCTGTATCGACGTCCCACTGTGTCAGAAACAAAATGAAAGAAAAGGAGCACCACCTGCTACTTTGGAATTTATATAAATTTTTAATTAGCTGATTTATTTAAATTTAAGGGAGGTGCTGCACTGATGCTTCTCTCCTTTTATTTTATTGAACAGAAAACTTCAGTAGGTGTTCTCTCTCGCGTTTTACAGTGTGGTTAGAAATTTAAAGGTCTGCTGAGTGTTTACATTCTTTATTTTGTAACTGAAGAGGGGGGTGGCACAGGACATTGGAAGGTGGTTCGTACGCTTTAGAATGACAGACACACTCAAATTGGCTTCAGGAGATAGAAATCTAAGGATCCCATCTACAAAAGAAATTAACAGCTGTGAGCCCTGAACTAAGCCAGAATGACTCTTTCTGCTCTAAATACAAGATTCGATTACCTGGAACTTTAAGTCGTCTTCTCTAGTGCTCTACTCTGGGTGTTGATATACTTGTTCTCCCACCAATCTGTAATGCAAAATAGGTTTAACTCTGCTTTTTGATATGAAACCCGAGAACGGACATTTGTACTCTTGCCAAAGGAGGCCTAGTGTTGTGCAACAAAGCATGATGGCTTTGGGGCTTCACTGGAGTAAAAAAGGGATGGACTGTAGAGCACTCTCCTTTCTTTTGGTCAGTGGGTCAGAGATTTGGGGGAGATGAAGATGGATATTTGATCATTGGTCACTAGGAATAAAATAGAGGAGCTTTTATTGTTTGAACCAAAGTACCTGAGCAGGGTCATTTCCTGGATTACAAATACGTGACTCTCTCATAGGAGAAAACGTCCACCTTGGTTCTGGTGATGGGCAGCCCAAAGATTCCGGGCCCCTTCCTCAAGTGGAAAAGAGGCTCAAGTGCACAGTGGAAGGCTGCAACCGGACGTTCGTGTGGCCAGCGCACTTTAAGTACCACCTCAAAACCCACCGGTGAGCAAATTTGGGGTTGCGGCACACCGATGCTTCCAGAGGGACTCATACCCACGATTTGACAAACTGAAGGCCAGCAGGGGCTGCCGCTCTTTTGTGGTTAAGATGTCTTTTGTTCTCTAGTAGGAAGATCTCCATTGTCTCATTTCATTCTTGACATACATTTAATAAGACATTTGCACCTAAGTGAGCTGCAGCAAGAGTTCCCAAATCGCATTATAATTATAATTTCTTAGAGAACGTAAAAGAATAATTCATAAACTTGGGCCCCACCCTAAACTTATGGAATCCATACTGTATTTTGAGAAGAAGGGCCAGGGCATCTGTACTTTAACAAACCTCAGGTAATTTCAGTATATACAGGTTGGGGGTTTACTGACTGCCTCAGGAGCCAGTAGGAGCTTTGTGACTCGTCCTCTCTAGCAGTAAATGTGTTCAAGTATTGTTGCTCACACAGTTTTTTTCCCCAGGAATGACCGCTCCTTCATATGCCCTGCAGAAGGTTGTGGGAAAAGTTTCTATGTGCTGCAGAGGCTGAAGGTGCACATGAGGACCCACAACGGAGAGAAGCCCTTTATGTGCCCTGAGTCCAGCTGTGGTAAGCAGTTCACCACAGCTGGGAATCTGAAGAACCACCTGCGGATCCACACAGGTGTGTGCGACCCCAGCATTGACGTGATGAGATATTGACCACATAAGCCTTTCCGAATGCCTTCGAACGCCGCACGGTTTGGGGCAGTAACACTGAGTCACAGAAGCCTTACAGAGCCCATGCTAGGCACTGAATAGGGTAAAATGGGGGGAGATACAAAAGCTGAGATATAATACCTGACTTTGAGGAGTTTGCTTTCTTGTTAAAACTTCACAACATGAGAAACAGTAGAAAAGTGACTTGTTCTGGGTCAAACAGCATGTTAATATTAAAGCAGCAGAATAAAAACACCCCGACTCATAGTCTGAGAAGGAGACGTGAGCGGACAACTGAAGGGGAGGGCGACCTTCCAAGCCACCTGGCCCTGTACATGCTGAGTCTCTTGCCAGAGCTTAATCAGACCCCTGCCTCAGCATATGTAACTGTTCTCTGCTTTCTCACCACTTCCTTTGTCTCTGCCTTGTTCATTCTTGCATAGCTAAAATGACAGCAGGTACAATTCAAGGACATTTAAAAAGTAAAATCCAAACCACGTTTGTTCCAGGCTCGATTTCTTCTAGATTGACATTACCACTGGCTGTGTTTTAGGATGGAGTAGCGGTATTCTCACCTCCTCCTTTTGATGAATTAACTTGTTTATTGACTGATTGATTATTTAGAGAGAGAGTCATTGACTTCTTGTTCCACTCATTTATGCATTCAGTTTGTTTCTTGTATGTGCCCTGACCGGATATCGAGCCTGCAGTCTCAGTGTATCAGGACAGTGCTCCAACTGAATTACCTGGTCAAGGGGCTCAGCTGTTTCTTAAAAGAGTAAACTATACTTGCTTCAAGAAAGCAGTTTGAATAAAAGAACAAGTAAAACATCTAACTGACCAGATTAAGAAAGAAGTAGAGCTCAGCATGCCTTATTGTCAAATGCAGTGATCTTTTCACCTTGTGCCGATCATCATCTTTGTAGCATTTTATAACACCGAACATCTCAAAATGCTTTCTTTTACTTTGGAGGATAACCTGACTTTCTCTCTTCATTCTAAGTCTTACTAGTTGTCCCTTGCTAATCTTCTCATTGTTCATCAATTTCACCTGGCTTGTGTGGCTCAGTGGATTGAGACTTGGCCTGTAAACTGAAGAGTCCCCAGTTTGATTCCCAGACAGGGCACATGCCTGGGTTGTGGACCAGGTCCCCAGTAGGGGGCGCATGAGAGGCAAGCACACATTAAAGTTTATCTCCCTCTCTTCCTCCCTTCCCTTCTTTCAAAAAATAAATATTTTTTTAAAAAATAAAAATAAATGTTAAGACAAAAGATTCTACTTCCACCCCTATTTACAAGGACCTTAGGAGCTCTCTGTCAAGAACCAGGAAAAGAGACATAGCTCTCATTATTTCACTCTTGTCATTTCTGCACTGACCTCAGGCACTCTTGAGTAACAAGGCTCTGCTTGTGCCTGAAATTTTCTTCCATCCTTGTCATCTTTTAAGACCAGCTTAAATTAAGCTTCTTTAAAAAAAAGATCATAGAGTCCCTCCCCCTTCTAAATGCTAAAACCCCCTTTTGTACAAGACTTTATGTTAAATTATTTACATTTACCTTTCTCACACTAGTCTTGTGACCCTTAGAGGACAGACACTGCATCTGATTATTTTCACTTTCTATTTTGAAATAATTACAGACATACAGGAAGTTGCAAAAATAGTACAAGGAGTTCAGTGTGTGCTTTACCCAGTCTCCCCAGAGAGCAACGTCTTATGCAGTCAGCACAATATCAGACCCCCGGCGGGCCCTCTCAGTTTTTACCGTGCATGTTTGATAACAGTAATATTGTAGGAAAAAGTATAGAAAAGCAAAAAGAGGAAAATATAGTACTATTGTTAGTATATCTACTTTTAATATACCGTTACAGATATTTTTGTGTACCTCTGACTAAATACGTTTTCATTTGTTTTATGAAATGAGAATATATATAATATCTACTTTATAACCTTTAAAATGTATATTTTTAAATGGATCTAGAAACTGCTTCTTAAAGAGAATTTATATAAGGTAAAAACTCTGGCAGCATAAATTACACACTGTTAATCTTGGTACCCCAGAGGGGTCCCTGAGAAAGGTAGGTCAGTGCAGTTAGGGGTCAGCTCTCAAGCCAGGAGGGAGGCGGAAGTATGATGTCCAGAAGCAGCTGCTGTTAGAGGAAAGGGCAGCACTTTCCACCTGGTGGGTGTATACTGGGAGGTCGTGGAGAGGTGACATTGGGCAGATAGCCCAGATGAAATTATATAGTGTGGATTTATAAAATCAGAGTAAGTCACTGGAAACAGGAAATGATTGATGGGAAAAGAAAGTGACAGTTCCTCAGAAGGCTGAGTCTTTATCTCATGTTCTCCTTCTAGGAGAGAAGCCTTTTCTTTGTGAAGCACAGGGATGTGGTCGTTCCTTTGCTGAATATTCTAGCCTCCGAAAGCATTTGGTGGTTCACTCAGGTACTCAGGCCATGGTGCAGAAGAACTTCAAGTGAGAATGGTGAAGACTGTGAGAATGGTAGCAGGAAATAGGATAAGGGGATATTATGAACTTGGGGCTGGAGTCCTTGAGTATGGTATGTATCTTAGAGGTCCAGGGAAGGCTGATCTGAATGCGGAAGCAAATATTCTGTGTGGCTGCCATGGTCTTACACCAAAGATGTTTTGTGAAGGCAGCGGTGCAGTGGGTCTAGAACGGTTGGGGGGCTGGGAACAGTGAGTGTGCTGAGCCATTCTGGTGACTTTTCTGGCTTCTTCCATGTACTGAAGATTGAAAGGTGGGGGAAAGGTGGTGAGTGGGAGAAGGAGCAGCCTCTTACGATTAATTTAACGTTCCATGGGCTTCTCCATCTAGGTTGAGTCCATTTTCTTGTCAGAAACGTGCTTGTCTTTTTGGCTCTCCTGTCTTAATGTGGCCTGTTTCAGGAGAGAAGCCTCATCAGTGTCAAGTCTGTGGGAAGACCTTCTCTCAAAGTGGGAGCAGGAATGTGCACATGAGAAAGCATCACTTGCAGCTGGGAGCAGCTGGGAGTCAAGAGCAGGAGCAAACTGGTGAGGAGAGAGGGCCCGGTGGAGGGCTGTGTCTTCCTGCCAGGTAACGGGGCTGCCTGGTTGTCTGGAAACTTTCTGATTCTGTTTTGGGTAGAGACCTGGTGTCATTTGATGGGCTAGTGGTTTCCAAATGTAACTGTACAGTAAAGTCCTCTGCAGGCTTTTCAAACATGTTTTTTCATATTGCTTGTCCACTCTTCCCCCCCAAACAGAACAAAACAAAACCTGATAAATGAGATTATTTGGAAGTAAGATCCCAGAACCTGTTGTTTTAAAAGCTCCCTCAGTGAGCTGGGGGGTGACTAGTGCTGGTCCACACGCCAGCATCTGAGTGTCACTGCGATACAGACTTTGCATGACAGGAGTTTCGGTGTTTTTACACATCAGGCATGCCTCCCTTTTTACCCTAACTTAAATTCGATAGCACTTTTTATTATTGCACCTTTTCTGTGTCTTTCCTTAACCAATGATTTCATTTCAAACTATTATTTCTCAGGAACCATCCACATCATTTTATATGCTTATTATCCAGATGCTGATCACAAGCAAGGATGTTTATCCATAAGGCCCAACCCTCCCCTTCTAGGCTTACTCTTCTTTCCAAAAGTAGGTGAAATAGGAGGTGGTATCCAAGATACAGGTTAATTTTTAGTTCTGAAAGAAAAGGCCAGCTTCCTGTCAAAGAAAATGGGGACCAGGCACAGCCTGGACTGCTGTATGTCTCTCACATCCTTTCTCTGTGCAGCCGAGTCACTTATGGGCAGTGGTTTGCTTGAAGAGGCTTCAGTACCCAGTAAAAGCCTGGTGTCGGTGAACTCCCAGCCCAGCCTTGGTGGAGAGTCACTGAACCTACCAAATACCAATTCTATCCTAGGAGTTGATGATGGTAAGAGTTTTAACTCTCCTTTATTTGGGGAAAATGGGCTGCAACTAGAGACTAAGGAATGGGGTTGTCTCCAGAATGGAGGTTTTAATTTCATTTCTTGTGAGTAGCTGTGCTATGATTTAGCAGCATCAGTGTTCTTTGTCTCTGGGGCGGATAAGTAAATTTGTTAAAAAAAAGAAATCATTGAGAAGATGATGTAACAATAAAATAAAGATTTTAAAAAAATTATGCATAATCCTAGCATATTAGCCCAACTATTTCTATCTTTCCTATTGCAGTTATGGAAGAACTTAACTTTTAAAACATTTAAACAGAACATAACCAGGTTTTACAGAGGAGATATAAAGCAATTTCTCCATACCTTCAAAAGCCATATCTTCTGGAGAAAAGAAAGGGCTCTCTAGGAAACAGTTGCTCCTCTCTGGTATAGAAATGTCACCCAAGTTACACAGGCCAGGCCCTCTTCTCTGAAAAACCTAACAGGTGAGGTCAGCATGCATTTATTCAGTGCCTACTCTGTGCCTGGCACCGTGGGAAAGACGAAAGTAGAAGACAGGGCCCTTAAAATCTCATTGAGAAGTTAAAACTTTAACAAACGGGTAACAAGATTGAGTGAACAGAAGGTAGTATAGAAGCAAACATTAAATTACCTGGTATAGTTTGGAAGAGCAATTTAAGCTGAAGAGCCCCTAAAAGAAATTTAAATTTATTTGAGGGCTAAGTGGCTTATATAGAAACTGTTGTCAAAAGATCTTCACGGTGATCCCACTAATGAACATTTAATAAGTATGAGGTCTACATTTTAGTTACTCATGTCCTGCTCAGTCAGTTTGGGGCATAAGGGACCACATTTGTGTACCTTCTGCATGAAGCCAACAGAGCCCAGCTCTACAACTGAAGGCCCCTCTGTTCTGTGAATGACACTAGTGGCCGACTGAAGCGTGAGGCGCAGAAATTGCCTGGCGGTCCTCTGCCAGTCAGAAGGAATAAAGTGGCAAGGAAGGAGGGGACTCTGAGTAGGAACTTTGTAGCGAGGTTTAGTGCTTGACCTGCACAGAGCGTGCCGCTGGTGTCACTGGTGGCTGCTTTCGGGGTCGGCTCTGGTTTTCTGATGTGCCCATCCAAGCAGCTTGCACCCTGTTTCAATCCAGTTAACAGTGATGAAGCCGCATTACTCTCAAGTGGTATATTGAAAAGTGATCAGCTCCTGTATCAAGATTTTTTGCCGGTTCTTCCCATCCCCTTTTTTAAATACTTTCGAAATTCACTAATAGTGATTATCAGATAAATATTAATTTGGACTTAATATAGGAACACGGGATTCAGTTTTTCAGGGAGCAATTTTAAAATTATTAATAAGAGACTTGGTAATTCAAGTAGGTATAGGCCTGGATTCACTTTTCATTGAAACAGTTTTTCTGTTGCTTCACAGAGGTGCTTGCTGAAGGATCCCCACGCCCCCTGTCCTCAGTGCCTGATGTGACACACCACTTGGTGACCATGCAGCCAGGGAGGCAGTCATATGAGGTTTCTGTCCTAACGGCCGTAAATCCACAGGAGGTAAGACACTCTCTCTGGCCCTTACTTTGTCCTGTGGACACTAATGTGGAGAGTGATTGGGAATCTAGTTCAGGGGATTTGCAAAATTCTTCAATTCAGTTTCCTGGAAATTTGGAATAGAATATGTTCTTTTAAGCTCAGTACAAGTCTAGCTTTGAAAGGAGCTTAAGTGATGGGATTTCCTGAATTGTGGGCCTGGTCAGTTACAGGTGAGACCCTTAGCTTCAACTTTTTGTATTCACATGTTGTAGTGAATTTCTGCTCCTGCTGTTTCCTGTCTTGCTATGAGATGAGTTTGCTTTCATTTTTATGAAGGAAATAACATCCTGAGACTAAGTGGTTCTTAAGTAAAAAGGTAGTAACAAAATCATTTTGAAAAATTATTGTTCATTTTTATAGGGTTATATATATGTCCAGGAGATACCAGGCTGACCCAGCTGGGCATATAGAAATGTGTTCATTGACTTACTGAATGAGAACCATCATCTAAAATAAAGAGTGGTTTTAAGAGTAGAGATGTGTTATTAGAGACCAAAGCTGAGATCATCCACATTCTTGTATTTCCAATTACTATGAACAGATGCAAAAATGGGACAGTGAAGAAGGCTGACGGGGGGGAGGGAGGGATTGATTCCTTTGAAATACATTGTTGGAGAAAAGCTCTTGTGGATACCCTGGACCATTAGAAAGATAAGCAAGAGGGCCCCAGAGCAAATTAAGCCTGAAACATTGACAAAACTGAAGCTGTCCTACCTCACACACATCATGGGAAGACAGGGCTCATTGGGAAAGACATTAATGCTGGGGAAATAGAAGGCGGGAGGAAAATATGACACGGACTGACTGCATGAAAGAAGCCATGGACACGAGGCTGCGGGAGCTGAGCAGGGCTGGTGAGGACAGGAGGTCATGGACCTCGCTCATTCATAGGGCCACCAGGAGTTGGAGCTGACTCACTGGTATGTGACACACGTTCCTTTGGTTCCTTTCTAAGTTACTTTCTCCTGACTATTGCTCTGAAGCATGTCCCCAGTTTCTCTTGAACCTAGGCAGGTAGGTCATGGAATTGACTTCAGAGTGTCCTTGTCTAGATGATACCCGTTCACACCCTCAGGCAGACACGGGAACACGGGCCACCAAAACACCAAAACTCAGCCTTCATTCACCCCAGGAGGACACTAAGGACCCATCTAGGGCCCTAAGTAACTGTTTCATAGTGGGAGCCCCAGACACGTAATAGAAGAATATTATCAACTCAAAGTGGAAAGTGCTGCCCTTAGATGTAGCTAAAAATATTATCCTGTTGTTTTTCCTCATGGGTCCTTGTATATTTATAAACACACCTTCTGTCTTTTCTTTACTATTACCATTATTATCTTCCTCTTATAACGGGCATTTCCACTGCTCACCCCCTCCTTTTCCTTGTTAAGGTGGGCTAATCACATTCCATGATACTGGGTTGGCCCAAAAGTTTGTTTCGTTTTTTTCCGCAAGATGCCTGTAGTAGCACTTTGTCTTTAACTTCATACGAAACAGTTTTGTTAGATTGTATTGTGGCAGCTGTCATATCAGTGTGCATTTTAAAAACACATCAAAATTAGTGAATTTGGGGGTAGCCATTTTAATATTAAACGTAGAAGAAAATAAGCAACATTTTCAGCATATGCTTTATTATTTCAAGAAAGGTAAAAACAAAGTGAAATGCAGAAAAGGATTTGTGCAGTGTTATCAAGAGGTGTTGTAATTGACTGAAGGTGTCATAGTGGTTTGTGAAGTTTTGCGCTGAAGATTTCTCACTGGATGATGCTTCATCTGGTTGGGTAGACCATTTTAAGTTGATAGCAATCAAATTGGGACATTAATCACAACAGTCAACATTATACCATGTGTAGATAGCCAGTATACTCAAAATATCCAAATCAATAAGGTTATTGGTAAAAATGAAAAATGTGCTTTTTTATTTTAGGGGAAAAAAACCACATGAACTCTTTGGCCAATCCAGTACCTTCATTGTTTTCAAGCTGTAAGCCCCTCAGGGCTCCACCCTTAGTCCTCTTCCTCATCCAGGGTCTAGGTGCCAACTGATCGTTCCTCCAGTGAGTGAGGAGTGTTGGTTCCCTGGGGACTCACAGATGCTGGAGAAGGATCAGGGGATTTGCAGCCCTTAAAATGACACATGCCCATTCCAAATTCTGGCTTTGGAGGTCCCCACGCATTATATATTGACCTGTAAGAATCTACTGATGCACTGATCAGACGCCTGTAAATTTGCTCTAAAACTAAAAGTAACATGAAGACTATCACAGAATAACCAAATCAAGTATAAGACATTTTCATGGAAAATATATCAGAACTACATCTGACTCAGATGGTTCAAACTGGACAGGTCCCATTTTCCCTCCGTGTTGCTAGGTCTCCCAAGAGTCAGAGGACTCTTCTTGTGCAGGCCCACTGGGGCGTTTGGACCTCCTGCCCACTGAAGGTCATCCCAGCTGGGGTCCCATGTCATCTTGAGTTCACATTCGAGAATTTGAGAAGCAGTATGAGTGATTGCCAGCTAACTTGACTATATCTTAGAATGTTTCCCAGATAAAACAAAGAGAAACACAAATGACAAGTTCTATAACATTTCTCAGAAAGCGCCATTGCTAAGTTTGAGTTCAAACATCTGGCTTGGCCTAGATTAAAAACACCATTCTTACATCCCTAGCACACAGCATCAAATGAAACCTGTGGTTTCCTTAAATTTTTTTAAATGTCTTTAAATTCTATACTGTTAACTTCTGCTTAAATTACCTTCATCCAAATTGAAATAAAAATATATACATCTCCTGCTCAAGAATTTATCTGATTAGACTTTAATAAGTGCAATTTGTATTCTGAATTTCACTGTATGATTCCTATCTCATTTTCTTTTCATAATAAAGTGGAACCCAAGTTCATTTATTATTACACAAAACCACCTTTCAGCAGACCACCTTAAGTGTGGAGGAGATCATCTAGCTGCCACCCTGCTGCAGTCCCCCAGGCTCATCTCCCTTCATCACAGGAAGGGTGTTCCTTTAGGCCAGGCTGTCAGACTCCTTTTCACCAGGGGCCACATCAGCCTCATGGTTGCCTTCATTAATGTAATGTAATGAAGGCAATACATTAATGTAGTACACCGAGTCGAATGTAATTTTCGGACTGTGTATGTGTGACTACTCCTTAGCAGTTAAGCGAGAGCTCAGCACTGCCTCCAGGTAAAAGCAAGGTGCCAGGATGGATAAAACAGGTGGAGGGTTGGATTCGGCCAGCAGGCCTGTGTTTGCCCCCTGTGCTGTAAGCCCAGGGACTCCCTGAATTTGTTCTGAGTGGGGTCTAGTTCTCACGTAGAACTCTTTGGGAATAGCCTTCTAAGTCCTTTCACTTCTTCTTGAACTTGTAGTCTGTGCTTGGTTTAAGACTGACTGACAGGATTCTTGGTTTTACCATTTCTGATTGCCCTGCAAGTTAGATTCCCCCATCACTGACCAGTAAGTACACGACTGCACACACCATGGTTTGGTTTATAGACTTAGAGTATTTCATTGCCATAGTGAAAATGACAGCATCGAGAAGCGTCCACAGTGCTGTCTCAAGGCCGGTATATGCCTGTCTCTCAAGACGTCCTTGACTTAACCCCTGCAGTGTGTCCCCTACTCCCACTCATAAACTTTCTACTTAGTATGAATTATTTTTCTTTTATTTAGTGGTGGCCCATTCCAGATTTCTCTTGCTCTTTTTCAGTTACTAAGCCAAGGAGATTTAACTGAGAGACGGACATGAGCCTGGGTGCTGAATCCTGGAAGAGCAGCTGTACCTGATCCCAGAGTACACACCGTGGCGACGGCTGCTTCGGGCTCACCGTCCGCCAGAACCCAAGTGAACCTGCGAATGACGAGACCCCACTTCCTCCTCTGGCATCTTCCCTGGCGTAGAAGGTGAATACAGGAGAGCTGCTCTTCGGACTCATCTGGTCCAGGAAAGGGAGAGAGCCGTGGGTGTGGGCCGGTAACTGTACCTGCCTGTCCTCCCACTGCAAAATTTGGGGATGGACTTCTCCCGGAAATGAACTTGATGAAATGTTGGTTGACGTTTCCCTGTATAACTGTTGAGAGGTTTTCCAGTGAAGAGCTTTCACCCCAGACTAAGCTGTGTTTTCACATGGATGAACTGAGTCCTGCCACCAACCGTAAAACTTCACCAAGAAGTTGAGCTTTCCAGATGCCTTGTTGCTTTGGAGAAGGGAGTGGTGTCGGTTCTGTTGTGACACCCTTCCTTTAGCAACCTGAGTAAGAGACTCTCGCCACTGGGCTGCAAAAAAAATAAATAAATTACTTGAATCAATCCCTACTTGGCCCAGCTGAGGTGCCGTCATGTCCCATACCCCTCTACGTGCTCACTTTCCTTTCTTTGTTTATGGAACATACAGTAGCATGTTTAAAAGGGTTTTTTGGGGTTTTGTTTTTAAGTTAAAAAATCATGATTCAGGGCTTCAGTTGCTTTCCCTTTAATAAACAAAACAGCCCAGTCAGTTCTTTGGCTTCTCGTTTCAGACAGTTTGTTTTGTTAGTGAGGAGATTGAGAAATGGTTCTGTCTTCCCCTTTAGGGTGAGGTAGTGATGTGCCCTCAGGATCCCATGCCGATGACCCTGAGCTCAGGGGTCTTAAGGAGCGTGACGTGAACGTCTTCATCTCTAACTAGCAGACCCAGAGTGCAGTCCGCAGAGCCCCTCTGTCATCACAGGGAGGACTGTGTCTGAGTCTGGAAAGTGGGCAATAACAGATACTTTGGAATTTTTCTAGGAAGACAGAGAGAGAGAGAGAAACTTGTTCCCATTAGAGTGGGCACTCTGCTATTATCCTGTCTCTTCAGCTGCTGAGAGAGAATATCTAATTACAGTTGGTGAGAAGAAAAGTTTTCCAAGGACCCAGTACCAGTAGAAAGTCATGCCTTCAGAGGAGTTTCAGATTTAAGATGGGCCTCATGCTGACACATGCACACACGCGCACAGATCACATTCCCAATAGAGAGCGGGAAAGAACCGTTTTAAATGACACGTATAGTCATCCTGGGATGATAATGTAGATTGAGTTCATGTCCATTACTTGTAGTCTTAAAATGCCGTTTTTACTTGTTACAGCCTTTTATACTGTAACAGTTGTCTCAGCTGGGGACATTTTGCTCCCCCTTCCCCCCCCTGGGACCTTTGGCAGTGTCTAGAGACGCTTTTGGTTGTCACAACTGGAGGAGTGTTACTGGCGTCTAGTGAGTAGAGGCCAGGGATGCTGCTAATCTCCCTACACCTGGCAAAGACTCATCAGGCCCAAACTGTCAACAGTGCTGAGGCTGACAAGCCCTGGACTAGAAGTTGCAAACCTATCGACCCCCAAGTATTTTATTTTGCCCATACAATAGTCCTAGGTAATATTATTTTCAGATTTTATTTATTCACTTTTAGAAGGGAAGGGAGGGAGGGAGAAACATCAGTGTGTGAGATAGGCATCGATCAGCTGGCTGCCTTGCCCCTAACGTGCCCTGGCCCGCAACCCAGGCATGGGCCCTGACCAGGAAGCAAACTGGTGAAATTTCCGTTTGCAGGCCGGCACTCAGTCCACAGAGCCACACCAGCCAGGGCATTTTTTAAATATATTTTCTTTCTTTATTTTCTGAGAGAGGGGAAGGGAAGGAGAAAGAGAAGGAGAGAAACATCAATGTGTGGTTGCCTCTCTTATGTCCCCTGCCGGGAACTGGCCCACAACCCAGGCATGTGCCCTGACTGGGAATCGAACCTCGATACTCTGGTTCGCAGGCCCGCGCTCAATCCACTGAGCTACACCAGCCAGGGCATCCAGGGCATTTTTAAATTAGTTGCCAATGTGTGGGTTTCTGGCATCTGTTGAAAATGCAGTTGATCTAGGTCCGTATTCCAGCAGAGGCTCCTGCTGTTGTCTCACAGCTGGCCCACCTGACCCACTTACTTTCTGACCAGCCCTTGGGGGCGTTGAGGCTTGCGCCCTTCTGTCCGCACATCTGAGTGCGAGGCACAAAGTAAGGACACAACTCGGCTCTGCTCCTTCCACCCTGAGCTGCTCCACGTGGATTTACTGATCGAACCCCACACTGGCTGCTTCATAGTACTGGACAGCAGTAATTTTAAGAGCGCTGGTTAGGCAAGTGATTTCAGATTATCTAGCAATTCATAAGACAGCTCCTCCTGTTCTTTCTTGGGGCTTGTAGGCTGCTCTAGAGATTCTTCCAAATCCTGCTGTGGACCTCTGATGCCTCGTTTTGTAGTTTCATGGGTGCTGCAGAATAAATCAAAACATTATGAAAATGTTTTTAATTAAAGCATTATGTAAAGCTTACGGATGGTCTCAACATTTTCATTATGTATGATGTAAAAGGAAATTTCTAAGTGGAAAATGGGGATAGGAAGTACGGGAAGGGGCCATTAGGATTTTAAGAAACAAAACAATATTGGAGATAGTATGTTTTCTCCCTTTGACTGGTATGATCTCAGTGGTGGAGGTGGTGCTAATGACTTATTTTGAAAGAGTGCTAGAAAGGCAGTTTTATCATTTTATGGGAAGTAAAAAAATATACATGGTTTTTCTTTTTTAAAAAATATGTCTAGCCCTGGCTGGTGTGGCTCAGTAGACTGAGTGCCAGCCCGCAAACCAAAGGGTCACCAGTTCAATTCCCAGTCAGGGCACATGCCTGGGTTGCAGGCCAAGTCCCTAGTAGAGGGCGTACAAAAGGCAACCACACATCGATGTTTCTCTCCCTCTTTTTCTCCTTTCCCCTCTCCAAAAAAATAAAATCTTTTTTAAAAAATGTTTATTGATTTTAAAGAGAGAGGAAGCAGGAGAGAGAGAGAAACATCGATCAGTTGCCTTTGGTAAGCACCCTGACCAGGGATTAGACTGCAACCTAAGTTTGTGACCTGACCAGGAATCGAACACCCAACTACTGGACAACACTCGAACCAACTGAGCTACACTGCCCAAGGCTATGTGACTTTTCAAAAATGGAGTGGAAACACTTTTGACTGATGGCATTGGAACTGGAATGGAAAAAAGATGTTTCAAATTTTAGGAATCTAGTTCTTATATACAACGATGATATTTTATTCACAGCTGCACTGATCTCCAAATTCAAATGTGCTATCTGGAGCTCTCTGGATGGTATTCTGTAGTTACAGGATAGTAACTCAAAATGTGCACTGCTGTTCCGAAGGTTCCTGCTGGGGCATTAGCAGGAGTGTCGCCTGAGAGAGCTGCAGAGTGACAGCAGCAACACTGCATTACAGCACCTGCGGTAATCGTGGACTTCTGACTGCTCCTTCCGTTGCACAGCCCTGGTGCCCCGCACCTTGTTCCTCACAAAGTCTTCGTCCAGCCCCGCCTGCCTCAGGGTGTCTCGATACCGTTGTTCTGCTTCTTTCCTGGCAAGGTCCTGTGGAATGGAAATCAGTCTTCCGGAGCTGTCTTGTGAATTATTTGATATCCTTACAGTACTGCTCACACCCCCCTCAGTATCCTTACAGTACTGCTCACACCCCCCTCCCAATTAGTGGACACATATTTGCATAGAAACTACCTGGACATTTTGTTAAAGACGTAGACTTATTTGGTAGGTCTCGGAAGGGACCCACAATTCTGTATTTCTAACAGTCCCAGGAGATGCCAGATATTTATTAGAGAGCCACACCTTTGAGAAGCAAGACTTTTTGGTTTTTAGAAGACCAAGTGAGACCGAGATGAAAATGATGAACTGAAAACTGAAGATTTACAAGGAACCAAACATCATCAGGAACATTAAAATATTAACAAAATAAGCTGCACTAACAGGATAGGTGGTCTGCATGTGGACCAGAAAAGGGTTTTCACTTGTTCTAAGTGTTTGAGAGTAAAATCCTATCAAGTACTTTGCATTTTTTCTAGAGTTGTGTAAAAAACCTGTTGAGCTCTGAGCATGAGCTTGCTTAAAAAAATTAACATGAAGAGAGAGGTCAGCATGGGAATCCTTGAGCAATGCAAGCGGCTAAGTAAATCCTAGACAGTCCAGTGTGTGACAGGCACATGGGTGGGAAGGAGTGGACCCAGGAAAGGCCTAGATGGTACACTGCCTGTAAGATGGAGACAATACCCAGCATTTGGAACCAGGTCACTAGGGAACCCCAACTTCTGTCAAACTCTGGAGAGGAGAGTGATCCTCAGAATCTGATGTAGCCCAAAGCTGCCCGGGATGGTGGCCTTTCAAAGACTGTTCAGGCAGCTCCAGAGCTTCCGTAGGGGGATCGCAACTGAGTCCGACTTCCCTAAAAGTCTAGAGAACATGTTAAAATGATTCTTCCAGCCTGAAAGGCACCTACTCTGGAAAGGGCCTTGCAGGGTGCTTGTGAGCATCCCAGTCCTTGGAGACCTAGAAATGTGCCACGGATCTTGGGGCTGTGGATGCCCGGGGCACCAGCACCGCAGGAGGAGAGCCGTCTTCCCAGCACGGTGGGCAGTGGCTCCAGACAGCAGAAAAGACTGGATTTCCAGTCACACCAGTAAGTGAAAGGTGCGCCCACCAGCATAGCAAAACTATCCCCGTGTGTCTGGGATCTAACCCCTGCTCTGAGTCAAACCGAAAGCCAGACGTGAGTGAAAACTCCAGGAAGCGAAATACCCCATTATAGATGCCTTGGAGTCCAGTCTTGGGTGAAATTAGCCCAACGACATTCACTATTACACTACTCACTTTGGGGAAAGATGGTAGTAATGGGCCCAATTTAGAATTTTGCTGAGCCTCAAGGAAATGTTTAATGCTCAGAGAGTAAACTTCATAATTTCTAAGAGCCCTTTCACCAAAGACAGAAAATGAATGGTGGTTTATTCTTACCTTGGTAACTTGTTCGAAGAGATAGGGCCTTGTTTGTATTCTCTTTTTCATTTCCTCCAATTCTTTCTTATACTCTCTTACTCTTTTACGGTCATTGTTCCTGGGATTAACAAGATTTTTAAAATCGGTCTTTTTCCAATCCAGAATACCCTTCCTTCTAATTAAGCAGAATGAGACCCATGGACACTGTAAATTCCTCACTGTGCCTGGCAAAACCCAGGACGGTGCAACTGGAGGAGCTCACCCTAATAACCCCATTTTGCCGATTTCAAGGTCAATGATATGCTGGATCCCAAGACAGTCCACCCTGGACACATAGAGGACACTGACCGGTTTTCCTTCAGCTTTGCTTTGAACACCTCCTCCAGGCTCTTGTGGGGGTCCATGGCTTTCGCACGCAAGGCCACAGACTTAGACATGGCTTGACGCTGCTTTTTGTGAGCCTCCAGCCACTGAGTGCTCTCATCTGCTTTGTCCCTTTTTTCAAGTGAACTTCTGCAGGGAGGAGGCAAACAAAGAATACAGATGACTGACTTGGGTATATTTAAACGCAGTCTCAACTACTCTCTGGAGAGTAAGTGTTTACTGTGAGTGTGGTGGGTAATTCACCTCCCTGGCATTTAGGAAAGATAAAGATTCTGGCATGAAATGCTGGGGTACATGACACCTTCGCAGCACTCTGGATACAGTAATATTCTAGCCCAGAAGTTCACTCACTGAAGGGAAAAACCAGTTAAAATATCCATACTTAAACAGCCAAACGTTCCGGCTCGTTGCCTATCCTGAAGCAAAATGCAAATAGCTACCTACCACTTGCTGAGCTACCTGCCCTGAACTAATGCAGATGACCTGCACGTGCTTTATAGCCATCATCTTGTGTAACCCTGGCTGCCCTAGAAACTAGGAACCATGACTATTCTTTTTATAAGGGAGGAGACATGGCCTCAGAGCAAGGCAAGCCGCTTGCTCAGAGCCACCCAGCGTTCCAGTGGGAAAGCCGATTAGAGCCAGGATGTCTGGCTCCTGCGCCTCTGCCCCCGGTGTATAAACTGTGCTATAACCAGGTGGCTGGACGGTGCTTGGATGCATGGTCCTGTGGGAATACAAATCTGCATCTCTACAGAAAAGTGGAAATGGACCTCTTTTGATGCACAGTTTGGGGTCAACTTGTAGCAGGTGGTTTCTGTGAATATTTGATGTGGTACCATGGAGAGTTCCACCAAAAGAAAAAAACGGTCAGGACTCCTGCATTTGGGTGTTTACACTCAAATGGACAGATTAGGAAGGAGGACATTGAGGTTTAATCTGGTAATATGGCAAACTCCCTATTTTCAAGGATGTCTGTGGACATCCTCCATAGGTGGGCCAGCCTCTGGCTCCTGGCGCCTATCTCACCGGGACCTCAGGATATTGAGGCATTCAGTAGCTCTACGAAATTTGAGGAAAGGGGAAATATCCCTTGGATTCTAAGTACATTTCTACAATCTCTCGTGGGTCTTAAAGGGCCAAGCTGGATCCATGGGCTCCTGTGAGCGAGTTGGGGAAGCACTGAGATGCTGGTCCTCTCAGAGGCCTAGTGGGGGAGCCCTAGCGATCTCTATGAGAATAACACCTGGACACAGTGCAGTCAGAGTTCAAAAGGAGGAGGCACCTGGACCCGGCTGCTGTAGCTCAGTGGACTGAGCACGGGCCTGTGAACCAAAGGATCACGGTTCGATTCCCAGTCATGGCACATGCCTGGATTGCAGGCCAGTTTCCAGCAGGGGTTGCACAAGAGGCAACCAAACATTGACATTTCTATCCCTCTCTCCTTCCCTTCCCCTCTAAAGATAAATAAGCTCTCTTAAGAAATTATTTTTTAAAAAAAGAGGTGCCTGATTCTCAACTGACTTCTGATGGTTCTCCAAGATGAGCCTCAGAGAATCTCAAATACGCACAACGGGTGCCACGTCTCTGGGGCAGGGTCAGCCTCCCACCCTCAGGCTTCTCTGAACTGCTAATGGCTTCCTTCCTCTTTCATCTGTGGGTCTTCACCCATGTAGTTCTCTCCATCTGGAACCTTCTTTCTTTCCAGGCTTGGGCTTATGCCTCTTTCTCCAGCTTTCACCTTAAACATCTATTACGAGAGACCCCTGCCCCAGGTTTCCCACTGCCCCCGAGTCCCCTGTGCTCCCTCTCACTGTACTACACCGAATATGGCAGTTGCTTCTTTGCTCTTCTGTATTTCAGACTAGATATTAAACTACAGATTCCACAAGGCATCTCCAGCCTTAACAGTATGCCTGGCACAGAGTAAGCCCCTGTGGGTATTTTTTGAATGACGGCTAGGTGTTTTCCAGCACTAAGTGTGGGGGACCATGTGTATTTCTGTCCTGACCAGAGGATTTCCTTCCACCCTTTTGGGCCTTTCTGATAACAGGAGAGGAGGCCCAGCAGCAGGGTAACTTCCATCATGTGGGCCACAATCTGAGTATTCTGCTCTGTAGCCTGACCACTCACCTGACTGCAGACTCCCTCTTCCTGGTGGCATCTGTGATGTGCACGGGCAGGGTGTTGGCGGAGAGGGAAGTGAGGCCACTCAGGGAACGACTCCTTGGCCGGGGTGTGGCAGGTATCTGTGGAGAGTCCTAGAGGGAACGAAGGCTGGTGTTGGTGGGAGAGCGTGTGGGATTAGTTCGTACCTTACCTGGAATCAATTTCAGTGAAGGACTAGTCAGACAAGAATCCTTTTTCTTGGGATTAAAGCAAAGGGTAATGAGATCTCAAGTTTAGTGACTGGGACAGACCTGGATATCAATCCTGAAGTTTTTAATCAAGTGAGGAGAGTTCTTTGCAGTGGGTATAGGGGCACCACAGCTGATCCCAACTCCTTGCCTTCCACACTTGCTCGAACTTATTTCTGCAACTTCTCTAGAGAGGGGGAAGCAAAAGAAGTATTCTTGTGGTCTTAAGTTTATAGGAATTGTGGGTCTGAGGATCTGGTTACGCCTGAACTGGTGTTTTAAAAAAAATTAGAAAAATGCCTTGAGATGTGGCCCTCCTTGGATTCTGGGCCTCAGAACCCCCCACCCCCCCACACCTCCACAACTGCCTGGGCTCTCACCTCCCTCCCTCCAGTGGTGGCAGAATCACAGGTCCGCCTAGTGCGACACAGGCTGGCGGTTCTCAGCAAGAAGGGCTTGTTGCGAGTCACCTCTCGGGTGTCCCTTCCCTTGGCAGCTCTTCTCTGGAAGGCCTTGTAAAGGGCCTCATAGTCAGGGACAGCAGGATTCACCCGAGGCTGGAATTCAAAGTCAGTGTGCAGAAACGCAAGCTTTTCCTCCTGTGTTCGCGTGGCCGTGCGGGGCCGAGGGTTAGCTGTGCCACTGGGGGTGGCGAGGGGGGAGGAGGCCACCTGGAGCATGTCTAGCGCCCTCATCTGGATGCGGATTTTCCTGAGGAGCTCGGCTTCTGTGGAGAAAAACCAGGCCATTGATGAATGAGAAGGGACTGAGACTCATACCAAAAGGTTTGGGGAACGTTCTGTCTTTCAGACACTAGTGGCGATGTGCTGGAACCAATGGTTACCTTCCTAGGAATTTTGTGAGCCAGTCGACATCATGTGGGAAGCCTAAAATTGGCCACGATTGGCATATTTATGCCATGGGAAATGGCAATTGCTACAAATCAGCCTGCTTCCCCCCCCCCCCCCCCAGAGAGATGGTTAATAATCGTTGACCAGAACAGCACTGCTAAGGGCCAATCAGGTGGCAGAGTCAGCTACCATCACACTCACCGAGTGCTTTCTACAGTTCCTCCTTCAGAGACGAGCAGGATGGGTCAGTCACCTGCTCCTCTCCTGGGAATCCGGATCTCAGAGAAAGCCCCGCCACCCACCCAAATGCCCAAGCCCACTGCCCCAATCATTCTGGTCTCCGCCCTCCCTCATCTCATCCCACCTGTTCTGCCGTCTCATACTTCTTTAACCTGTCTTCAGTCCCGTCTCTTTTCATCATCCCTGCTCTTAATTTCATCATTTCTTAACTAAAAGGTTGAAATAGCCTCCTGTTAGATCCATGTCCCTCCAGTCTTGCGCCTCCCCCTCTCAGCATCTCTACAGCAACCAGAGCGATCTTCCTGAGCTGCAAATCTGGTCGTGCCCACCCTGCTGAAACCCCCAATGGCTCCTCTGGGTCCTTGGGTAAAGTCCAAACTCCCTCCCATGGCCTGCAAGGCCCCTCCCCTCCCCACGCTCCCTCCTCTCTATCCCCGCTACCTTTCCATCCCCCAGAGGGGCTCAGCTTTCTCTTCCCTCCACACTATAGCTGTGCCTGGTGCACTCTTCCTATTTGCCACATTTACACAGCTCGTCCTGCAGGGTCAGCCTCAGTGCTCACTCTCTCTAGGGCCCTAAATGCCCACTCCTCACCATGCCCTAGGTTAGGTCCCTCTGTTATGTGGAACCCCCTGGCTTCCTCCTATAATCCTTGCAAATGGCTTGTCACGGTTGTGATTACGTGTCTATAATGTCTCCGAGACACAAGTCCATTCAGTCCAGAACAGTGCCTGGGGCACGGCACATGTTACTGAACAAGCAAGCAAGCCTGAGTCTCTTCTTTGAGCTACGCTTCTTGAAATGAGCACCTTGCCAGGGTGAAGGAGGGGTGGGGGCTCTCCTCAGGGGCAGCTGCTGGTGGCTGTCTCATTGGCTCTCTGCTCTCACGTGTGTGCCGCTGCGAAGGCTTTGCATTTACTCACTCAGGGAGAGGTCAGCAGGACAAAGCTGGGGGGCCCTGCAGGACCTCTCCTCGTTCCTTGCTCCTTGTAGGGCTCCCCCTTAGATAGACAGACCCAACCCTATGCCCACGCCTGCACTGAGTGTGGGCTCTAGCAAGTCCACCTAAACAGTTCATCTCCAAGTCAGGCTGACCCCCAAGCCTGACTAAATCCCCAGGGCACCCCCAGGCAGGCAGCAGCAAGGGGGCAAAGATGTCTTTACCCTGGAGTTTGTCCCCAAGGGCTGGCTCCAGAATGGACTTGGGAATCCTTCTAGTAGCTTTCTGTTTGGAGACCTCGGCCTTAGCAGTGGCAGTGAATTCCTTCTGTCGAGCAGCTTTTCGTTGCTCCTCCTTCTCCAGGAAGCTGAAGGGTTTTAAAGAGGAGAGGAGCAGTTCCTTCCTCTTCTGGATCCCTTCCCGCCTTCGGGCCTCATTACGCTCCATGATTTCCTGGTAAAGGGGCAGGTAGACATGCGCAGGCACCGGTTGTGCCCGGAACTGCCGGTGGCACTCAGCCTCCTCCTGGCCCTGCCTCTGGGCCTGCTGCCTCTCAGGCTCGAAGGAGGCAGGTGAGGCCAGCCACCGGGCCTTTCTCCGGGCCTCGCGCACCGTCATATGGAATGGCTGAGGGACGGTGATGGAAGATGCCCAGGAGCTGATGCTTCTGTGCTGGGCAGGAGGCCTGGAGCCTGCAGGCGACTGGGACTGAAACTTGGGAATGTCGGAGGGTACGTTGCTCAGGGAGCTGCAGCGTCGTGTGGAGCCACACCTGGAGGGAGAAAGCAGCTGCCCTGTGCTTGGAGGGCAGGGCAGCCCCCTAGGGGGCCCGGCTCCTCCCAGAGCCCCCTGCCTGCTCCGCCCTAGTCCTCCCTTCCAGCAGGCTGCCTCCAGCTTCTTGGCCTAACATCACAGACCCATGGGCCTCGAAGCCTGTGCCTTTGTCAACCTGTCCACCCTCCTTCCCACAGGCCATCTAGTAGCTTTAGTAAGTAGTCTCTTCTCAAAAGTGATCCAAGGATTGCCACTCAGCACTCAAATTTATTTATTTTTATATATGGGGGACAGTGCAATGGTGCAGAGCAGGGCTTAGGAGTCAGACAGAGCCAGGTTCGAATCTTGCTCCAAAACATTACCAGCTGTGTGACCTTGAGCAAGGTTCTTTCGGAACCTCAATTCCTTGTCTGCAGAATGGCAAAAATGACAGCTACTTAAAGGGTTAGTGGGAGGAGAAAATAAATATTTAATGAGATAAAGTGTGCATACATTTAACAGGGGTTGGCCAAGGTCAATGTACCTCACTGTCACTCTCAGGAAGGTAGTGTGTTTGAGAAAGGCATCACTTAAGCAGTTCCCATACTTCAGATAACTAAGTGTTACCCAAAGTGATGGAGAACTGCTGGGTAGGAATCAGAACACATGGTTGGACCTGAAAGCTGATTCTGCTGCAGCCTGGGTAAGTGGCCACTTTCGGAAACAGTCTTGGCTTTACTGAGGAAGAGGAACGTGACTTGGGCAGAGCTGGACAGCGAGGCAGCTGTTGAACCTCAGTGCCTTACCTCGGAGCCGCGGGGTCCCGGGCCTGTGGCTTCCCCCTGCCTTTGTCTCGGAAGAAACTCTCCAGGTCCTCATCATCTTCAGAGAGGCTCTCATCACTGTCTGGCTCAGACTCGTGAGAGGATTCTGACAGGCACCACCTGCCTTTCTGCTTTAGCACTTTCAGGGTCTCATAAAAGCTCCCAGGTGAGTCAGGAGAAGTAGAATCTGTCTCCTCTAGGCTGAGGAACTCATCAAGTTTGCCAGCCCTCGACAAAACCAGCCCATTCCCAGACAGCTCCTCTTCTGCCTCTCTGTCTGAGGGGGATTTCGGGGGAAATATCTAAAATGAAAGAATAGACTGGGGTCAAACTATAATTTCAAATGCATTCAAAACAGAACCATTAATTTCACCTTGAATGAGCCTGTATATTAGGGACTTGGGAGAAACAAAGTAAAATAAGATGTGTTTGTTGCTCTAAAGAAATTTCTCAAGTTGGTGTATGGAGTACGCTTGGTTGGAGGTATCAACCCCAAGAAAGAATGTAACAGCCGAGAAGGGCTCCTTGTGGTGAACTGGGATCAAATTCATAACCAGAGTGCAGCAGCCACTGTTTACAGAGATGCACACTGAGTATCAAGGAACAGCTGCAGGCCGAGCTGCCTGCACTGTTTCTGCCATCTGAGCTGACCCTTTATCATAAGGGTCTTTATTACAGTGCTTCTAGGGCTGTAATTCAACCAATGGGCTGAAGACCTACCCTATCCAACTGGAGCTGTGCAACTATACCCTTATTTGCATATTTACTGACCCATCATAACAGGTGAAATCTATGGACTAATCAAACCGTGTACATTTGGATTCCTCATTTGCACAGTCAGGGACCAGGGAGAAGACCCTCCTCTATATAAGGCGGCATCATGCCATGGCTGTGTCACCCAGGTTTGCAAACTGAGCTGCAACACTTGAGCTGTTTTACTGAATGAAATCTCTCCTGTACTGCACCCCAGATTGGGAACTTCTGTTGGCACTGAATTGTGGCAGTGACCTTCGATTGACAAAGGACAGGAAAGAGAGAAGCGAAGAGCTAAAGTTGGGCCCCTGCTTCTTGCAGTGTGATGAGCATTTACAGAGCACCTACCTACTCTGCACCATGCATTCTGCCCCTCATACTCCAGTCCGACCCACGATGCTGGCCACACTTCGGGCCTTGTCCAACTTGGGTTTCACCAACTTTTGCCATCCTTCTTTTCCTGCTTCCCCCATCTACACCTCTGCTTTCCTCATATTCTAGCTGATTTCCACTGTGTCACTAGGAGTGGATAATTAACACTAGGCAAGACAATGTGGCATAGCTGAATGAGCAATGTCCTAGAATGTGGGAAACCCAACTGGGTTCAAATATTCCATCCATTCAGAAAATATGTATCAGGTGATTACTATGTACTAGGCATTATGCAGAGAACAAGACAAAGTCCCTACTTTCAAGAAGCTTACATTTTAGTGAAAGGAGACAGATGCTATAAGTGAAAGCCATAAAACTGAGATTACAGAGCGACAGAGTGGCTATGGGAAGCTTTCTTTATATGATGGGCTACAAAAGCCCATCAGATAGAGACTACATATATCTATGTAGAGATAGACATATATTGTGATATATGTGTATACTTGTACTATAATCAGAGTTGAGTTTATTAATTTGCTGCAGTAAACCATGGAAAATGATAGACAACATTGGGAGGGGGTAGCTTTCAGTAAGAGAGTGGGAGAGGGGCTTCTCCTAGGGTTAGACTGTCCTGGATAATTCTAATGAAAGTTAGGGGAAGCAGGGATCAACTCTGGATCAATGCTGCCATGAAGAGGCCATAGTTTAGTAAGCGGACGATTTAGCAATTTTTATTTGAAAGGTCACAAGAACAAAGTGGGACCAGTTAAACAACTGATAAGGGGTCTTAGGCATCTTATAGATCCTTGTGGTCCGATGAGAAACACTGTTTTCTGCTGATCTTGCCGCTGGCCTCATCTGTGTCTATTACAGATTGAGTTGTCCTTTCTCAGCCCCAGGATGATTTTTACTTTCTCACTGTGGAGGAGTTTTGGACTAACACCTGACTGATGAAAAGGAGCCATCCTTGATCAGATCTGGTGTGAGTGGTTTCTGGGTTCAAGGAACCTCAAAGGCCTCGAGGCAGAGACCTGAGGCAGGAACAAACTTGACTCTTGAAAGAGGACTAGGGTGGCTGGAGGACTGTGGCACGAGACACCCTCAGATGGGCTGGCATGGTGTGCCAGAACGGGACTAGAGGCTGACTGACTGCAGCTGGAAACCAGCTGGAGCAGGCTACTGCAGGCTTCCAGGTGACCTTGGTGATGAAAAGAGCACTGGACTCTGCGTCAAAGGTATGTGCTAGCCCTCACTCCACTACTGAAGAGCTTATGATCTTAGGAAAACTTCCTTTTTTTAAATGACATTGAGATATAATTCACATAGCATGAAATTCATGTAACTCACTTATTTAAAGTTGTGCAACGGGTTTTAGTACATTCACAGAGTTGTGCAGCCATCAGCACAACTTTAGCACATTTTAATCACCCCCAAAGAAACCCTACACCACGTAGCAATCGCTCCGTTTTCCCAATCCTCCCAACCCCTCCCCACCTCACCTTCCTCCTCATCCCGACACTCCCTGGCCAGCCCTGAACAATCATCACTCTACTTTCTGTTTCTATGGGTTTGGGGGCAAATTTCTTAATTTCTCTTAGCCACAGTTTTCTCTTTTACAAAATGGAGACAACAATCGTACTATTAGACCTAGGGTAGTCGAGAAGATAAGCGAAAACTGAGAGGGCCATTGATTGCTATGGTTCTACAAAGAACCTGACGTGAGGCTCAAGGGGTTCGGGTCAAGAGTTCCTAAACACTGTCAAAGCTAATCCCACGCCCCTCCGGGGCACGCCCCTGCCGTCTGTCTCCAAGGCAACATCAAACAGTCTCCTCTCAGGAATCCCTTTCCGCGGCGCATACCTGATTCCTCCCCTCTTCCTTCCCTCCTCACCTGAAGGCTCCGAGCACCGCCGGAGACTCCCGCAGGCCTCCCCACAGTCATCTCCTTGGGTACAGACACACACACAAGCTAAGGTGACAGCAGTAACTGCAGTGGCTGCGGTAGCTGTACGCATTAAGCCCCGCCCGCTTTTTAGCTTTGGGTTCTGATTGGCTCCCAGGCGGATGCATTAGCCAGTCCCCTGCCCAGGGAGCTCCAACCCATCCCGCCCAAGAAGGCAAGGATCGCTTTCCGATTGGCCTATTCTCCTTGCCTGTTCTGTTTCTGGTCTGAGTCCCCGGGTCTGGGGCGGCCAGTGATTGGAGGGCTTTGCTCTGGAAGTGCTACCAAAGGCGGAGCAGCGGGGTGCCAAGTGCGGTTGGAGTCAGCACTATGGCGGCTCTCTTGGCCATTAGCCGGTCGGGGGCTGCACCTGCAGCTACCTGGAGAGGCCCTCTAGTCTCTTGTAGGAGGTGGACGGGCGCCCTGGCAGACACCGTGTACGATGTGGTGGTGTCGGGTGGAGGCCTGGTGGGCGCCGCCATGGCCTGTGCCTTGGGTAAGTGCATCCAAGGCCAGTAGGGTTGGGGACCGGGGCCGTGGAGGAGCGGTGAGGATCGTCGGGACCCTGGCACTGAACCCAAAGTATGAGCGTTGTGGATTTTGTGCCCCATTCCCTCCAGAGACGCTCCAGGCCCCAGGGCAAGCTTTTGGTTCTTAGGCGTTCTGAAGGGTCAATAGTGGGAGGGACCTCAGGACCTTCCACCTTCTAAGGAAACAGACCTGAGGGTTATTTAGTTATGGAAGCAATAAGGCATTGTTGCGTTGGGTTAGGTGCTTTTTGTTTTTTAACAGCTTCATTGAAATATAATTTGCATACCATAAAGTTCACCCACGTGCCACTATTTTTGTAATGTTGATTTTTAGAGAGAGAGATGGGAAGAGGGAGAGAAACATCGATTTGTTGTCACTTAGTGATGCATTTATTTGTTGGTTCTTGTGTGCCCTGACCGGAGATAAAACCTGCAATCTTTATGGTGTACAGGACACTCTAAATCAACTGAGCCACCTGGACAGGGCCAGGTGGAGCCTATTACTAACAAATACCTCCTGGGATGGGGATCTGAAGACCACACTTTGAAAGTGAAAACCACTGGAAAGAGTTTAAGTGTCTTGTAATGACTTTACCTATTTTTATACCATCTTATACATATACACTTTTCATAGGCAGTCATGGTGTGTGTGTGTGTGTGGTGTGGAGCAGAATCTGGTAATCCTATCACATTTTTTCCTCCTTTTTTGACAGCAGCAACTTACTGCTTATTTTTTCACCCATATCCTCTGAGACACTGTGGAGGGACTATAATGTGCTGCAGACACCAGTAATGGACTCCCCGAGTCTCCTTTTTCCTTCTGTATACAATGTTTTAGGACCAGACTTGTAGGCACAATTGTCTTATTTTTTGCCCCCCTTTTCTTTTATAGACTCTAATTCTTTATCCTTGGTTCAATCTTGAGGCCACAGGGATTTTGCTTTTTAACTGTATTGTTCTGTTGAATAAGATTTGCAACTCTCAGCGATGTAATACTTTGGAGATTTGACATACCTGATTTCTGAATACTACAGTTTTTCTTTTTTTACTTCATTCTTCCTTTCTAGGCAATTCTGTTGGCTCATTACGGGTTTTGCCATAATTTGCTTCTTTGCAGACAGCAGATGTTGGACTGTCTGCAGAAGCCTTACATGGTTGCCAGTGTGATTTGCGTGTTGAAATGGTGGTACAGTATATGTTGTTGCTTAGGGCTCTGCATAGTGTTTCCTTTTTGTGTGCCATGTAAGAAATTTGTATCCAGTTTATTGCTTCTCTTGGAAATGAAAAAAAATTAAAATTTTGATTTTCCCAAAATGATACAAAATTTTTCTTCTTTTTTTAGGATGTGATATTCACTTTCATGATAAGAAAATCTTGTTGCTAGAAGCAGGTCCTAAGAAAGTATTGGAGAAATTGCCAGAAACATACAGCAATAGGGTCAGCTCCATTTCCCCTGGCTCGGCAACCCTTCTCAGCAGTGAGTAGCACCTCCTCTCTCATAGAACCAATCTCTCTTGGCTTTCCAGTGTGCCCCATAGGGCGGAGTCACCAGAGCATCTGCTGAGGAGGGAGCGCACTGAGAGGGCTGGGAGAGAGTGGTGGGGGTGTGTGTCTGGTGCATAGTTGAAGATGAGGGCCTCTGAAATTGTTAATGTGCCAACTCCCAGTCTAAGGAAAACATCTCTGGGATTTGTGGGTCCATCATGATGACTTCATTTGTAATGTTGGGTCATTATGAATCGGTGGATCTAAAACTGTGTGAACTAATTATGACCATTCACTTCCAGTAGCAGCACTCTCTTCATTCCCAAAGTTGGCCCTCTAGGGCGCTAGAGAGCCTGCGTAATAAATGCTTTTGGCGGGGGTGGGGGGTGTCCAACCTTTTGGAGTCTCTGGGCCACCCTGGAAGAAGGAGAGTTGTCTTGGGCCACACATTAAGTACACTGCAACATGTAATCACAAAAAAAATCTCATCATGTTTTAAGTAAATTTACTATTTTGCGTTGGGCCGCATTCAAGCCATCCTGGGCCGCAGGCAGCCCAAGGGCCGTGGGGTGGATGCCCCCGGAGATGCAGATGCACGTGTGCATGCAGACCATTGTTAGCCCATTGTCTCAGGTCTCTGCCAAGTTTCCTGCCCCAGGGTGTCCAGTCTTAGAGCCACCCTATCTAAAATGTATCACTCTAGCCCCTTATACCACTTTATTTTTCTTCATAACACCTACTGCTACCTGACATTGTATTATGTATTTGTTTCTTATTACAAACAATAAACTACATTATCCGCTACAGAAGGGAGGGGGACTTTGTCCATTTGGTTTTCCACTTTTAGCCCAGTACCTAGAATTGTATCTGGCACATTGAAGGGGCTCCATAAACACTTCCTCAGTGAATGAATCTCCTCAGTGCCATGAAGTTCAACAAAAAAATAGTCTCTATCCATAGAATTTGTAACTTCAATAGGGTGATAAAGAAAAAAGAACAGTATGGCTTTAGTTTTTCTGTTTATTTCCCCTATTTTATTTATTTGTTTTTAAAGATTTTATTTATTTTTAGAGAGAGGGAACAGAGGGAGACAGACAGGGAGAGAAACATCAGTGTGTGGTTGTTCTCACGTGTCCCCTCCTGGAGACCTGGCCCATAACCCAGGCATGCGCCCTGGCTGGGAATCCAACCGATGACCCTTTGTTTCACAGGCCAGCACTCAATTTCCTGAGCCACACCAGCCAGGCCTATTTCCCCCACCTTAATGGGATTTGACCTATTGATCATGAAAGCTGGGTCTTTTTTCATACTGTATAACCTGAACTGGGGAACAGAGTAGCTTAGCTTCAACCATCAAACAGGGCAGAAGTGGAGAGTATTTCTCTGTTACAGAGAACACGGAAAACAACCTCTAACTTAACAAGATGGAGGGACAAGGGGGGCGGGCCCTGGCAGGATGCTGTGGCCTCTATATAGATCCTTTCTTTTGTAGGTTTTGGTGCCTGGGACCACATCTGCAACATGAGATACAGAGCGTTCCGGCGAATGCAGGTGCCCCCATGTCCCTATTGGCGAGATAGCTTGGTCTGTCGTGTGAAAATACTGGAGTCCACTTCTCCAGGCTTTCTGTGAATGTGAGAAGAATCAGACAAAGTTCACACTCGGTCTAAGGAAGTGGAGGGGAGCACTCCCAAGAGAATTTTCTTCTCACCTTACATCCTGCCTGATGGACTGACAGACTGTGATTTTCCTGCTTCCGTCCCTTGGGAACGCGGTCCTCTGTTTCTCGTTGGGGTGCTGTGTCCTTTCCGTGGGTCGTAACACAGACCCCCCCTCTGTGTTTCCAGGTGTGGGATGCCTGCTCAGAGGCCCTGATCATGTTCGATAAGGATGACTTAGATGACATGGGCTACATCGTGGAGAACGACGTCATCATGCACGCGCTCACTAAGCAGCTGGAGGCCATGTCAGGTGAGCCCACCCCTCCCATCTTCCTTTCCTTCTCTGGAGGGTGAACCGCTTTGGGGTTATTCTTGGACTTACTGGAAGAAAGATCCCTGTTACAGATACTGAATGTCCACCACAAGGAAACATTCTGGTACTTCTGTCAGGGATTTTCTTTTTTCTTGTTTTTCTTTTACAGAATTTACATGCCATAACATTCACCCATTGTAGGTGTTCCACGTTGTTTATTACATGTGTAGAGTGGGGCCCCCATCACCTTTAGGACACTTCCGTTACCTCGGCAGGAAACTGCGCGCCTGATTCTGATGCTCCCCACCCCACCCCTGGTCCATGGCCCCACCTGTCCACTTTCTGTCTGTCAGGGCTCGTTTGCTCTGGACGGTCACAGAGACAGGCTCATTCTGTTTGTGTTCCTCTGTGTCTGAGTTCTCGCACAGACTGTGTGTTTGTGACTCACTCCTGTCGTAGCACGTGTCGGTGCTCCATTCTTTGTCACTGTCGAATGTGTTCCCTAGTGTGGGTAGACCGCGTCTGTTTGTCCGTCCAGTGGCTGGTGGACATTCAGGTTGCTTCCACTCCTCGGTGATTGTGAATAGAGCTGTGAACATTTGTGTACAAGTTTTTGTATGGACGTAAACTTTCATTTCTTCTGAGTGAATACTTAGTAGTGGAATTGCTGGTTATATAATAATGCTGTTTAACATTTTCATAAGCTCTGAAACTATTTCAAAGAGCCTGCACCATTTCACTTTCTCACAGGGTGGGCAGAAGTAGGTTTACAGTTGTATATGAAACAGTTTATTCTTGTATTACTAATAATTATATTATTTTCCATGTGAACAGCTATATACCTACTTTTGCCCTCCTCTATATAAGGGTTCCAATTTCTTCATATACTCACCAATATTTACTTTCCCTGCCCTTAAAATTGTTTTTAAAAATTGATTTTATGGAGAGAGAGGAAGGAAGAGGGGAAAGGAGAGGGAGAAGGAGAGACATCGATTTGTTGTTCCACTTACTCATGCGTTCATTGGTTGATTCTTGTATGTGCC